CAATCGCGGAGTATAATCGAGCTAGCCGTCCCGAGCGATTTCCCTACTTTATATATACTGCCTAGCTTCCCTTAAAGGCCTTTTTCGACCGCCTAGGGCTCTGTCCGACTAACGACCTTTCCGAATACTAGGATTATAAGAAAGATCGGCAGATATTATAGAGAAGAAGAAAACAGAGTAAGCAGATTAGCCGTCCTTAAGCTAATAGTATACCTTACCTCCTTCTAAAGGTAAGATTAGTCTCTACGGCCTATCGCCTATTAACCTTCCTATTTTTAAAGTGTAGTCGGCTGTCGTAGTCGGCAATTATAGTCGGCACTCGAGATTCCCTTCGCTAATTCCGATCCCTAGATCCGGAAACTTTGTATCTTTATTAACTCGAGCTCTTAAAGGTTCGAGCAGTTTATCGACCTATAGAAAGAGATACTTCAAAAGAAGGAGCTATTTATAAAGCACCGTCGGTAGAATAGCGTTCAAGATCGGATCCTAAGGGTCGTTTAAGACGTAAAGATAAGGTAGTCCTTAATAACGTTAATACTCGATCGCTTTAGTAGACTATAAAGAGTTATCGAATCTTATATTAATCGACTCGACCTAAGTAAAGATATAGGTATCGATTCCGAAGAGTAGCAAAGGGTTAAGTACCTTATCGACCTTACGAAACTATTCGTAGCGGCGATAGCAACGATTAAAACAACGAAAGGTCCGACTATCTACCTTGTCCTCGTATACTACAACTAGCTTTTCGACATTCTAGAGGAGGCGATAAAGCGACTTAAGAATAAGAGGATACCTTAGAAGAAGGATATATATTAGGTATACGAGGCTGCTTAGGCTAAGCTTAAGAAATATTATCGAGATACCTAGGATCGATTTAGCGATTACTATAGTATTAGTATCCTCCTTACCCCCTGCCTTAAGCGGAAGTTCTAGGTATACGATAACTTTAGGGATAAAAGTTACTACGAGTATTACGAGGGTAAGCTAAGAACAGAGTAGGAGAAGAGCTATCGTCTATTATCGAGCACTTCTACCTACGAGTTACGTAGTAGAAGTAGTCGGTATAAGGGCTAGATCGACTTTACTCTTAGTAGGAGTATAGAATCTTCTTAAACTTAACGACGTAGTACTCGTAAAGGTAACGAGCTTACCGACTATCTAGACGCTAATATAGATAAAGGAGATCTATTCGAGGTACTAAAGATATAGTCTTCGCTTAAGCCTAAGTACCCTACTCTCGTACTAATAGCGCGGGATATTCTCTGTATTCCTACGGCCGGAGTTAGGTATAAGCGCGATTTCAGTATCGCTCGATACTAAAGTCGTTTCAATCGCTAATACTCCGTATTAATATTCTCTAAACTAATAGTATCCCGTTTCCGCTACCGCGACGATAAGTACAATACTAGAGTTCTTATCGCCTACGAGGCTATAGAGGCTACTTAAGCGCTTCTTAGTACTCTAACTTTATAGGAGATCCTAAGTAAAGACCGAGAGTAGACAAAAGATCTTATAGAACGGATTAGTAACTTAGATGCAATTAGCGATAATAAGGGAGATAGGGTAGAGGAGCTAAGGCGATCGGTACGCCTAAGCTTCAAGCTTACGCAAGAGTGCCTCTAGGATACTACGAGACGATTATAGCGAGCTTAGTTTGAGCTTGTATAAAGTAACAAAGTTTACCTACCGACTATATTTACCGACTATAGTATTCAAGTTTCAAAATATTACAAGCTGTAATCTAGCGTATATATTCTTCTATATTTATTTATTCGATCTAACTACTCTCTTTCTCCTCTTATCTATATCGGGCTTATATACAGTTTCTTTTCTAATACCTAGTTTAAATAACTTGCTCTTAGGGTACTCGGTTTCTAGGCTTTTTCTTTCTGTTTACGAAAAATCAATACCTAATAGGTACGCAATACCTACTAGGTATCGTAATACCTACTAGGTTTGTACCCAACCCGATAGGTTGGGTTTACCTAGCTAAATACCTATACCTATTAGGTATTGCTAATACCCAACCTACCCTATATACCTACTAGGGTAGGTTGTACCTATAATAAGGCCTAGGCTTAGCTATTTAAGGTCTCGTACCTTACTAAAGCCCCTCGTTCTAGGGTATAACCTATTTCTTTAGCTACTACCCTATCTAGAAAGTTCATCTAGGCACTATAGTCTACTAGAGCGTAGATGTTTCGCCGCCCTGTCGGTCCCTCTAGAGTTACTTTGACCCTAATCAAATTATATAGCCCTAGCTTCGTTGCCTAACAGCCGTATAGCTCTACTAATCGCCGTTACTCCTCTATATATATTACTTGTCCTGCTACCTAGAGCACTAGGAGGCGGGGCTAGCTTTTAGGGACCCTTTGTTCTCCTAAGCCGCCTTATTAGGGTATTCCGGGCGTTTATAGCCTATCTCGCCGTATCCGTAGTACCTAGGTAGAGGTCTAGTATCTCTAGATCGGCTTAGTCGTCCTATCGACGGAGGTTGGCTCGCTTTAGAGTAACTTTAGGATCTCTTTGCGTAGATTACGGTTTCGCTAGTAGTATCGGACCGTCCGCGTTTGTTATTGCGTTTATCCTTCTAGCGATAATCCCTTTCGGCCTAGATAGCCCTCTAGTAGATATTTGCTACTTCCTCGAGGGCCGTAACGGTAGTAAAGGTAGTAAGATTAATATTAATCCGATACTTAATCCTTCTATCTAGGGCGCTTTTGAACTCTATAATCTTAGTTTGTTCGTCCTCCGTTCTAAGCTCGTCCTAGTATTCCTTTAGGTCTATTAAGAGCTCCGTTAGGGTTCGGAGGTTCTGTTCGATAGATTTAATTACGTTATAGGCAATTTGTCGCCTTTCCTAGGGTATGCCTATTGTATTAAGTATATATTCCTTAAAGTCGGACTAAGATAGGGCGTTATAGGCTAGTTAGGATCGGAGTAAGTCTATAAACCGGTTCTACTAGGATCTTTGTTTAGTTGCTATCTATTCCTCTCTAAGTTCAATCTTAGTTTAGGCGTCCGTATAGTAACCTAGGGCCCTTTAGAAGATTCGTTCGCAGTCGTCTCGCTATTCGATCTAGTCGCGTCTGTTCTTTCCTTCGAATATATAGGGGTTCTATAGTTTAGGAATAAATTAGGCTAGAGATAGGCTAGGATAGCCTAGGATAGGGTCGTATCTATCGGTTAGGAGGATTCCGGTTAGAGATTAGATTATTGCGTCGGATTATTTAAGTTACTAGAGCAACTTAGTATGTTCCTCTCTAGCCTAGCTTACTCGAAGGAGTTACTAGGCCTTAGTAGCCTCCGTCTCTTTAGCTTCTAGCTAAAGTGCGACGTCTACTTCCGTTAGGGTACTAGTCGCTACCGAGTCCTAGGTAACTCGATCCTAAGCGTATCGTATTCTTTAGACCTATAGTTAGAGATACTTCGTTATACGATAAAGAAGCGATTCGTATATAAAAGGATATAATATATAGGCTAAAGTATCTAATAGAAATATACTACTCGAATCGCTTAGGAGAAGAGTAAGAATATATCTTCTCCCTCTATATATAAGTATAACTTCGGGGTACCCGGAGGTTCTAGCCTCTCGGGTCTAATTTAGAATATCTCGATCTAAGATCTCCTATTCTAACTCTCTATAAACTATCTTAACTTAGTATTAGCGGTAAAGGTCTAGCCTAAACCCTCTTGAATCGTAGTAGCCCGTTCTAGCCTATCTTAGGTACTTCCGGGCTATTCCGGGTCTATCCTAAGATATCTGTATCGCTGTCTAGTCTAGATCCTAACAAGACCTTATCTTATCTTAGTTCTTCGAAAAGTAGGTAGGTATAGTACGTATATTGTGCCTTAGGCAAATTTGGCCTTCTACTATTTAGAATTTTTACTCCCGCTATATATAATTCCCTCTAAAGCCTTTACCTCTTTAAATACCTAGTAGTATAAGTATAAACATAAATAATATAAAGAAGTATAGAAACTATACTATACTATACTATACTATACTATACTATACTATACTATACTATACTATACTATACTATACTATACTATACTATACTATACTATACTATACTATACTATACTATACTATACTATACTATACTATACTATACTATACTATACTATACTATACTATACTATACTACTTACGTTACTAATTAGTAAATGTATTTACTAATTAGTATTACTTTTTACTTTTACTTTTACTTTTACTTACGACCTTCCGTTAGTAATTAGTATTAGTAACGGATTTTACTTATAACCTATATTAGTAAAAGTAAAAGTAAAAGTAATTACTAATTACTTATTTTAGAGTTTGGACATCACTGCAGTGAAGTGCGACAACAACCTGGAACGTGCAAGATTGATGATTCCTCTCTGGTATACGCCACCTCTCGTTGCCTCTGCTGCGTGTCGTATCGTTTGTGCACTTTGGGAGCCAGTTTGACGCTCTGAGGTTGATAATCCTAGACAGACAGATGACACGCTAGATGCTGAGGGTGTCGGAGATAGAAAGTCATCTGAGGAGCTGCTCTCTTTCTCTCTCCACAGGAGCTGTCGAGCACTGACTACATCTTAGCCGTTACAGGTAATGTACAGGTAGCTGTGTCTGTGTGATATGCATCCATCTTCACCTACCACTACCTCCACCTACCACTACAGTACCTACTTGTACTTGTATCCGCCCAGATCCTCTTCTGATCGCTGACATTTTATTACTCGACTGCCCGCTTCGTACACATACCAAACACATGTATCTGTGCCCGAATCCCCCCTCTCAGTGCTCTCATCATATCACGCCGTGTGGGCTGCACGTTTAGTTTCCTACCAGGCAGGCCGATCCTCGCCAGAACGCCTTCGTCTCCAGTGGATCCCGCCCGCCGCCTCGCCCAGAGCCACCACAGACAGATACGCGCTTTCTGCCTGCTTCATACCTGTAGCATGCAGTCCGCTCTTCGTGAGCTCTTCTGATGAAGTGCAGCTGGAGCGAGCCAGTTACCTACACTACCTATCTAGAACTTTCTGTATTCTATCTAGCTCAAGCCTCGCGTCTGAGCGTCCGGAGGCGTCCCCTAGCACGAAAGCTTCCAGATCTGGCCGTGCATCTGTCTCGGCATGTCAGAACCTCTGGGCAAACGCAGCAGCGATGTGCGTGACTACGCCGACGACCTGTCCACTGCACCTACGACCCGCCGCTCGTCGGCCACCACCGAGGAGATGAGTCGCGATCAGCACGAAGCTGTCGAACGGCAACCAGCGTCTGCATCGATGCATGCCAGCCAGAGCAGCTTGCAATCACAACAGACGGGAGATGGAGCCCCAGGCACGACGAGGCGACCGCGCGCGCGACTGCAGGACTATGGTATGCAGACCGCCCTGAACTACATGAGGCACAGCTTCGGCCCTTCGGTCCTTACTAACACGCCCCCAGGCTCCATGCAAGGTTCGTCTACGAGCGGAGGTCAGGGTGGAGGCGGGAGTGGAGGCTCCAGTAGAGCTACTCCACAGGCCCAGCAGCAACCACCCAAGCGGCCCACTCCTACTACTCGAAAGACGTCGACTGCAGCGCCGCACCGTGGCGACCTGTTCTCTGTAGACGATGATGCGATCGAAGTCGATGCCGATTTGCGTCAACAGCGAACACAGTCTCGCGCCGGTTCGCAACGAGAGCGACCGCTGCGACGGAGGGAGAGCACTGTACGGCGCCGGGTGCCTCCCCCTTCGCTGCCCCGAGTGGAGAGCGACGAACGAGAGGAGGATGCGGCGCAGACGACGGGTATAGATGCTGCGAGAGCAGTCCCGCGGCCCACGTCGAGTCTGGACCCAGGCGAGCCGAGCTCAGAGGATACACTACAAGGTGAAGATGAACAAGAAGAAGAAGAAGAGGAAGAAGTGGAAGCCACAGACGACTCTCCCACTCCTGAAGACTACGGCGACAGCGCGGATCTGAGCGATGCGGAGAGCTTCACCTTGAAGGACCGACAGGAAGCGATCAACGAAACACATCCATTCGGCATCCGGATCTGGAAGCCGGCCTTGTACAAGAAGAACCGATCTGTGCAGAGAAACGCAGAAGGCGACATTCACAGCGCACCAGGAGGCAATGTTAGTCACTGGTTATGGATATTCAACGTCCTGTGGACGCTCGTCTTCGGGTGGTGGCTGGCCATCATCACTGCTGCTGGAGGTGTGGTCTGCCTGGTTCTAGGCGTTTTCCAGCCAAGTTCTGGATCACCCGGATGCCGCGAGTACGGTCGAGTGTTGATTAACCTGGCCCACTACCTGTTCTACCCCTTTGGAAAGTACGTCAAGCTGGAACGTGATGAGCAATACTTGCACGAGGACGAAGGTGAGGGGAGAGATATTGTCGAGTATGAACGCTGGCAGGCCGGCGACATCGAGGAGGGCCGTCTCTTCTTTGGACCTACCGACATCAATCGCTCTCTCATCGGCCGTCGTCGAGAAGAAGTACCCGACCTGGAAGACAACGAGACGGACAGCTTGCTGGGCCGCACAAGATCGAGCTCTGCGGCGGAGCGTGCTCGTAACAAGACGAAGAAGCGACTGTTTGGCCGTGGCGAGTGGACTTTGGGCAGGGTGATCTTCTTCCTGTTCTTCTACTTCCTCATCACTCCGTTCTTGTTCTTGGTCAGCGGCATCTGTTGGTTCCTCGTCTTCACGATACCCATGGGCAAAGTAACTCTGCTGCTATTCTATCATCTGCGAAGACATCCTCTGGCCATGAGCTTCCATACCGACAGCCATTACCAGCGCTTCGATTCGGAGCCGCGCGGCAATAGCGACAGTGTCATATTGCTATGCACATACCGCGCAGTTGGCATCAAATACTGGAAATACACCATTGATGGCACGAACATCTTCCTCATCAATCTACTCGGTCTGGTCGCCTTTGCCATTGTCGATTACTTCCTGCTGTACGAGACTTTGCACATCGACACATGGTTCACTTCTCCAGGCTTTGTGTTCGTGATCGCACTGGCTTCGATCATCCCACTTGCATACTTTATTGGTCAAGCTGTTGCCTCGATCTCTGCGCAGTCCTCAATGGGCGTGGGAGCCACGATCAACGCCTTCTTCAGCACCATCGTGGAGGTCTTCTTGTATTGCGTGGCATTGGACGAGGGCAAGTCACAGCTTGTCGAGGGCAGTATCGTGGGCTCGATTCTAGCAGGCATCCTCTTATTGCCTGGGCTGTCAATGTGTTTTGGCGCGATCAAGCGCAAGACACAACGCTTCAACGTCAAGTCAGCCGGTGTGACGTCGACAATGCTGCTCTTTGCCGTGATCGCAAGTTTCGCACCGACGCTGTTCTACCAGTTCTACGGGTCACACGTGCTCAACTGTCGCCTGTGTGTCGACTCGCCTCCGGGTCCAGATGGCTCGGAAGAGGAGCGAGACTGCCGCAGGTGCTACTTTACTCAAGTCCCGGAGCTCAACGACCAGTTCTTCATCTCCGCTGTGAGGCCGTACGTATATTTCTGCGCAGTCTGCTTGTTCTTGTCGTACGTGGTGGGCTTGCTATTCACCTTGCGAACGCACGCAGCTGTCATCTGGAACAATGAGCCGGAAGACGAGAAGAAGAAGCAGCAGCATCATGACGTGCTCCACAGTACACCACATGCTGGTCACATCAACCTGCCTTACACTGCAGGCTTAGTGCAAGCTGACTCTACCAACAACACCCCCGGCAAGAAGAGCTCCCACAGTACCAACATGCAAGGAGACATCAGGTCTACTCAGATGTACAAGAGGATTCTCACTCAGAGTCTCAAGCAGGCTGGCGTCGGTCCATCACCCGCTTCTGCCGCGAAGAATCAGAGCATGGAAAACACTGCCGCAGGAGCTGAAGGACAGGGACCGCACATTGTGCCACCGAAAAGCGCTGGCAATGACTCGGCGGCCAACAGCTCCAATGTCCCAGGCCTCAGCGTAGAAGATAATCGTGCTCTTGTACAACACGTCGCAGAAATGGCCGCGACAGCGGCTACCATCGCTGCACGAGACGCTACGTCTGCGCCTCGTCGCGCAAGTCAGATGGCGAATACACCTGCAATACCCACAGCAGTTCGGACTCAGTCTTATGTCAAGAGTGTCAAAGACGGGAAAGACTCGCATGCTCTCAATACGGAATCGGTTCATGGAGGCCCAGCGGTGCCAGAAGATGCAGCTGGCGGACATGGAGGCCATGACGCGCCGAACTGGTCGCGTATGAAATCGGCTATTATCCTCATGACCGCGACGGTCGCCTACGCAGTCATCGCCGAGATTCTGGTCGACACTGTTGATGTTGTCCTCACATCTGTCAGCATTCCAGAGAAGTTCCTCGGCATCACTTTGTTTTCTCTGGTACCAAACACAACCGAGTTTCTCAATGCTATCAGCTTCGCCATGAACGGGAACGTGGCGCTCTCCATGGAGATTGGATCGAGTTATGCGCTGCAGGTGTTCTTGCTGCAGACACCCTGTCTTGTACTCTTCACTGCTATTTACACGAATTGGGTGCCTTGGGATGAGCTTGCCGAGCACAGCTTCAGCTTAATCTTCCCACAATGGGATATGGTTTGCGTCTTGCTCAGTGTCATCCTCTTTGGCTGGATTGTGGGAGAGGGCAAGAGCAACTACTTCAAAGGCAGTATACTCATCTTCACCTACTTGGTTGTTGTGCTTGGGTTCTGGTTCACGGGATTCAGCACCGAGGTAAGTTGCGAATGATTCAAGCTGATGACGGAAAAAGTCTCTAACTCCCGACTACAGGCAATGATGGGTGTCGATCGCTTCGACACTCTCGCACTGGGTGTACAGCCCCAGAAATTCCACACGATTGGCCAATCCACCAGTGGAGCGGCTTTTCCATTTCGCGTGCGTCCGAGAACCAAAGCCGCTCACTGAACGCGTCTTCGTACGTGTGTATCCACAATCAGTGGCATGTTTGCAAAAAGAAAACAATGGAAACGATGAATGGCGACCAGAAAATTTGTCAGTCATTCGATCAATTTTTGGTATATGATGAAGTTGCACGGGTATGGCGTGAGCGTTCGAGCATGGCGCGGGCGTTTTGGTGGCATTCGCATTTGGTTTTCCCAGAGATTACAGACAGTGGCATACCCAGCGAGCGCCTTCTACAGTAGTAAGCCTTAATTGAACTAATGTTACTGGTCAGAAGACGCCTTTTCCATGTGAGGTGAGGTACGGGTGAAATTTGAGTAGACGTGGTGACCCAGTGGCGACGGACGACTGACTGACGAGATTGAAGAGCTGAGGTGTAGGTATGTAAGGTAGGGTAAGGGAGGTGTGAAATGAGTCGGTGTACAACTAATTCGTCACAGTCATCATTCGTGGAATTATTGACTCAGGTCGTCTACGTTTTAAGTCTATGATACCTCCCTCCTAGGTAGCAAGCGGACGACGTCTGCGCGCCCACATACCGATGCAATCTCTCTCTTTCTCGAGTGCATGGAGCTCGCTCGCTAGGAGAGCGTGTTTCTCTCATAGCAGGGAACGCAACAACCGTCTTCAGAAGATGCGCGTTGTGCTGGGCTTGACCCACTGGACCTGATCGCAAGGCCTCTCATCCATCCACTTCTGAATCCGAGAAGAGATCCAACCCGACACGAAGCGCCGATCATCCGGCGACCATGGCTCATCGTGTTGTTGTCCCTCCTCCAACAACGGCGGCGGGTCCCGCGCTCGTCCAAATCGGAAAGAACGCACGAAATGACAGCGTCCGAGGTAATGTGTCCACTGAAAGCAGCCCTGATGTGCCGCACACGCGTCCTGGCAAGTCACTGGTGAAGTGTGTGCTCTCGACTCGGGTGGGTCAAAGGAATCCCATTCGGCATTGTCCCAATTAAGGCGAATGGGGGTCTCGAAAAAGCTGTTGTAATATGAGATGGCCAAGTCTCGGTAAAGTACAGGTCGCTGCTGATGAGGCATGATGTTAGTATAATGGAGATTCCGTTCGATTTGAGACTCGAAAGACGACCTACAGTTGCGTTTCTGTGCTGCCACTCCCACCGCCACAGATCTTGCATGTCTTCTTCGTGTGGTTTGTGCATGGTCAACACCGGCTGACACCAGTACAAGTCCGAGAACGGAACACCATGTGGCGGATGTGGATTGAACATGGGCCATAACCCATCCAGCTTCAGACTTTCTTCCCAAAGTGCCCAACCCAGAATACTGTCTCCGCAGCAGTTCACCAAGGTCTCGTTCCACTGCTTCACCGACACGCGAGATCCAAGGTATGATCCATCCTTGGTGTAGTCATCCCTAACCAGTTTCCTGACCGCAGCGCGGGAAAGGATGAAGCCAGGGCCTCCGTTCGCAAACCATATTCCATCCCTTCCAGGTGATGGTGAGCCAAAGTAGTGTGGTTGATCGGCATCGAAGTTTTCCAGTAGACGAAAGACATTGTCCCAAACAATGTAGGTATCTCCCTCAAAGAAAACATACCACTGCTTCTCGGGACTCATCTGCCAAGCGCGACTGACATCCTATAATGCAGTTAGTACAATACCTTGCAAAAGTCTCACGTCTCAAATCACAGCTGTAATGAGACTTACGGGTAGAAATTTGAACTTGTCGGTTTCCCAGCCTGGTAATTGTGACGCTGTCTCGTTGGATTGTTCGAGGGTGCCATTTGCTTGGAAGGCCTTCAGATGGCGATATGGAAGTGTTTGATCATCGCTTTCGATCAGTTCTTGTGGAATGTCTTTGATAGTGTCGACAACAGTGTGGCCCTCAATCTCCTCATCCAGATCGGAGAAGATGAGTAAGTTGGTGAGGCATGCTGCTGAACTATTCAACTGCGAGCGCACACGATTCATGGCGCCGTGGCCACTTTTCAGCACGGGTTGAACGTGAAGTAACTTGCTTTGAGGAAATGACTCGCATAACTCTTTGATGGTCGCATGGACGGCATGCTCTTCAGTAACCGGCCCGAACGCGGTCGTGGTGGTCCAGTTGAAGAATTCGGTGTTCTCTGGAATGTTGCCACCTGTTTCCAGTGATGTTCCTTCCCCGATTCTGTGTGACAGCCGAACTGGTGCATAGTCCGATAGTACTAGGAAGTACAGCACGATGGAGCCAAGGGTTGCGATGCCCAGCAGTATCTGCCATCTCGATCGAGACATTCTTCCACCTCCACGTTGTCGACAAGAGGTGTCGTTGTCGGTTGCTGCCCTCGAGATTGCCGAGAGTTCTTTGTTTGCTGTTATGCGATGCACGCCGCTTCCCTACTGCTAGGGCCCAAAGCGGACAGCTGCGGACACAGCATGATCTCAGGCCAGTGTGGTCGAGATGCGCGGTGTTGTTGCGAACATGTCTCTGCAACTGAGTGAGGTGAATGCGCGAGGTCTATGATGAAAATCGATTACTTCCGTAGTGACATACATGTAGGCAAGGAAGTTGTAGCGTCAGTGCAGCAGTGGCACGTACTTGTGACGTCCAACAGCCAAAAACATCCGTCTTCCAGCTTTTGCGACAGGCTAACCTGTCTCAAAGCCGCCTTCCCGCATCCTGATATGATAGTCTGATAGTTGCGAACAAGTACACTTTCTCGTCCAGCAGCACTACTGTCGGAGTTATCGCTTCGATGTAGGTCGGAAAGACCCGCTGCCGCTGGAACTTGGAAAGATATAGCAAAAATTTCCAAGGGCGTCCTAGCGTAACAGCTTCCAGGTTTCACAAGCTCCTGTGACCTCCTGAGCGGCAATCGCAATCATGCGTATCACCTCCCGCTGCATGAGCAAGCGATAGGCGCCTGCATATCGGCACAACCTCCAGCGCCCGAGACAACCAACGCCAACAGCAATCACAGGCACACGCGTGCTGAGAGCTGACCATATTCCTCGTCAAGAGTCCCCAGTAGCACTGAGCACGTCTCGCTGCTCTGTCGACCGGACCTGGGGAGGGTCCCAGAAAGGCACCTCTTTGTCCAAATAGCGGCGTTCCTATAGAAGATATACATGTACCTTAGTACGTTGTCTGGACTTACAGCCTTCTTCGAAATTCATTGCCAACGAGTGCTCATCCTCCCGTGCAACCTCTTCGCCTCTTCGTCATAGTCCTCATACCACTGATACTTTCATTCGTCCCGTCATACTGATACCAGATTTGTATCGCTTGTGCTTCGTATGTGGGATCGGCGAGTCTCTAGAGGTGCATATGATTTAAGCTTAACTTTTCAACCTGCAGGTGGTCGTAGCCTCTTGAGCTCGGGGCTGTAAGCCCAATGGAAAGCCAGCTCCTGGCATGCTCGGGCTGTTTGCGGGCTTGAAGGGTTGTCACCAATTACTCTTTTACCTCCTAGGTGGTAGCTTCCCTAGCTGCGCTGAACGCCAATCACCAACGCGTGCTGTTCGCGATGATGCCGGTCTGTTCTCGTACAACGCGATATCTGCAATATTTCAATCGCAATGCATTCACCACGTATTTTTAGCGGCTTCCAAAAGTTCAGAGGTATTGTGTCGAGCAACCCGTCCTGACCATACTTTGCGGTCCTCTGGGAGATACTATACATTGCTGTACAGCAGCGACTCTGTTTTCAATCGGTGCTGGATTACGCACACATTGTACAGACTTGTCGGACTGTAAAGCTTGCGAAGCACGCGCTAGTCGAGCGATCATATGCGACTCTGTTCAGTGCAATCGTTGAAGCCTTGATGGGTTTGAGACAAAAGTGCGATCGTGGATGATATGGATTGCAATTGCTGGAGCACTGCATCGGTTCTGCGTCTCTTGGTGCACTTGGTCTGATTCGCTCGGTCCTTATGACTGTGGCTGTTCTACCTACCATGATTTCCATGTATCGCAAAATGCATCTCTCCCGAACGCACGATGATCGTGCTGGGTCTGGAATGTCTTCGGAAGTTCGCATCGTATGAACTTTAGATCCTCGAGTGGGCTCGAATGGTGACATCAAGCTGGAACTGTTCTTTCATGTGGCCGGAGTACGGAGCACATCCCCAGTTCTCGTATATGATGCATGCAATTCCTATCTGTAGTCATAGTGTGATGTGGATGCTTATTCCTTGCCTCCACCCATGACCACTTGCAGCAGCAAAAACAGTCCAATGGCCCACCAATACCTAATATCGCATTAGCATTCGCATTCAAACCCTCCTAATCTCAATTTTACGGCCATACTTCTGCAGGAACGTCTTCTCTGGCTCCTTCCCCTCAACCTCTCCATCTGCCGTTACCACGACTGGCTTGTTCAATGCGGGCTTCGGTCCCTGCGTAATCTGTACCACTTCCACTGTCAAGTCATCAACAGTGCTCTTTCCCTTCCCCTGGCTCACTGGCTCAGCAGGCTTGAATGCCAAGTGGTATAGTTGGCCATCCTGCCTGACGAGTAGCTGTAGCGTCTTCGGCTTGTTCGGGGCGAAATTCGAAGCGGATGTAGCGATCCCAGACCACTCGCCGGAGTCATGGAAGTAGCCTACGCGTACGATGCTGTCGTCGGCAGATGTGGTAGGGGGCGTGTAGCTCTTAATGGAAGCATTGGAGGAAGTGTAAGAAATGATCGCCAGATCATGGGGCTCCTCGGAGGATAACGGCCAGGCGAATAGCTTGACCTCTCGTTCCGTGTCGACGGCGGCGGCGAGGGAGACGATGAAGGTCAGCAAGACGCTGACGATGGTTGCCGTGCGCATGTTGGCTGTGTTGTGGTCGATGAGATGGCGATATCTGGCTCCGACTGGCTGCTCCTAGATCAGAGCTGGGCAGCTACAGGTAGGGTACCTGTACGTGTACCCGCGTAGTCTATAGACCGCCAAGACGGGGCACTGGCTCGCCAATAATTTCCACGGGTACCTGACACAACACAATGGCGTCGTCTCTCGAGTCTACAAAAGGAGAAAGTCCTTCTGCAGTGGTTGTGCCCAGCAGACCGACCATCCCCGCGCACGATGCGTATCCCACTGCGGACAGTGGATACATACCTACCTATGAATAGTCCTACGACAGGGAGCTCGTCTCGTTCTGTCGCGTCCCATCGACGACAGCAGCAAGATCCGCGACCGTTGAGACGTCTACATCACTGCTTGTGCTCCCTCAAGCTGCAATGGCTGCTAGATCCGACCCCCGCGTCCCCACAATGATGTAGCTAGCTCCGATGTTTCGGGGTGAGGTGAGGTGAGCCTGATGAGAGAGGTGCAAGTGCACTGTCGACGAGCCCAAGGGTTCAATGCGATTTTCCTCTGGCCTTACCTACCCTACCTTAGTCCGCTCGCAATCACAATCATCACCCACACACCGCCCATTGCACCTCAAATTGCAGTCACATTGCAATATTACGGGCACGCACCCCCTCGATAAACTTAGCCATCGACAGGATTCATAGGCAGGGAAACCCTCATCACCACCATCTCACCAGAAGACAGCAACAAAAGCAGCCATCATGTCGCAAACCGCCGGTCTTCCATACCGCAACCCTTCGCGGCAGCAGTCCAGACAGATGTCCGTCGACCCTCACAATGAGCTCCGTCCAGAGCTCAATCACTACATCGGTATCGATGTTGGTACCGGCAGTGCGCGAGCATGTATCATGAACGACAGAGGTGACATTGTCGGTCTGGCGAGCGAGAATATTGGCCTGTGGCAGCCAGAGACCGGTTTCTACGTATGAAGCCATTGGCTTTTATAGCTGAGTTGATGCTGATCTCGGTACGACAGGAACAATCGACCACCAACATCTGGAAATGCATTTGCAACTCGATTCAGCGTGCCATGTCCCAGCACAACATCGACCCCAACACCATCCGCGGCATTGGCTTCGATGCCACTTGCTCCCTCACTGTCTTCGACCGCGAGACCGACCAGCCAGTCTCCGTGACGGGCCCCAAGTTCGACAATGCTGATGGTAACGACCGCAACGTCATTCTCTGGCTCGATCACAGACCAGTCGAGGAGACGAAGAAGATCAACGCCACCAACCACAACCTCCTGAGATACGTGGGTGGACAGATGAGCATTGAGATGGAAATTCCCAAGGTCCTGTGGCTGAAGAACAATATGCCAAAAGAGCTATTCGATCGTTGCAAGTTCTACGATCTGGGAGACGCTCTCACACACATGGCCACGGGCAGCGAGTCACGCAGCTTCTGCTCCGTCGTCTGCAAGCAGGGATACGTGCCAGTGGGCGTTGACGGCAGCGTCAAGGGCTGGCAGGAGGACTTCCTTACAGAGATCGGCCTCGCCGACCTCTGCGAGGACAACTTCAAGCGGATGGGAGGTGTCAACGGGGTGGTACAACCTTCCAGTTCGATTGTTTGAGATGTGGGTCCTGACTGACTTCATCACAGAATGGCCACTACTTGACTGCTGGAGAGCTCATCGGCACCCTGTCCGAAAAGGCAGGCGCAGAAATGGGTCTCCCAGCAGGCATTGCTATCGGCAGCGGTGTCATTGATGCCTACGCTGGTTGGATCGGTACAGTCGGCGCCAAGGTGAACTTGAGGGGAGACAGCATCGACGCTGGCAAGCCGAAGAACGATGTCTCTCAAGCATTCACTCGTCTTGCTGCCGTTGCGGGTACCTCGACTTGCCACCTGGCCATGTCCGAGAAGCCAGTCTTCGTCAATGGTGTGTGGGGACCATACCGTGATGTCCTCATTCCAAACTACTGGTTGGCCGAAGGTGGTCAATCAGCTACCGGCGAGCTGCTCAAGCACGTGGTTGAGACGCACCCCGCGTTCCAGGAAGCTATGTCGCTCGCTGAGTCATTCAATACGAATATCTACGACTACCTGAACGAGCACCTGTCTGAGATGCAGGAAAAGACGAGGGCCCCTGCGATTTCGTACCTCGGCCGCCACTTCTTCTTCTACGGCGACCTGTTTGGCAACCGCTCTCCAGTCGCGGACCCAGACATGAAGGGCTCCATCATTGGTCTCTCCAACGACAAGAGCATTGATGGTCTCGCCCTCTACTACTACGGCACCATGGAGTTCATCGCTCTACAGACACACCAGATCATCGAGCAGATGAACTCGGCGGGTCACATCATCTCTTCGATCTTCATGTCTGGCTCGCAGTGCCAGAACCCAGTGCTCATGTCGCTGATGGCGACCGCCTGCAACATGCCCGTCTTGATCCCACGATACGTCCACGCCGCCGTCGTACACGGTGCAGCCATGCTCGGTGCCAAAGCAGCTTCGACCGACAAGAATGGAGTCAGCGAGCCACTATGGGACATCATGGACAGAATGAGCAAACCTGGAAAGGCTGTCTACCCTAACAAAGATGTGGGCGAGCAGAAGTTGCTCCAGGCCAAGTACAAGGTCTTCCTGAAGCAGTGTGAGGAGCAGCGATCGCACCGCCAGGACATTGACGACGCCATCTCTGGCTGGAAGTCTTGAGCGAAAAGATGAATATGCGGATGCAACCATGAGGACAAAAGAAAGGCGCATTGTGCATTAGACATAGAAGTCGACAACCAGCTGACATGATTACTCTCCCCAGCATTATTCGTGCTCTTATCCTGTGAACTTGTGAAGACTTCTGAGAACCCTTCATTTCGATTCCGCTAGCGTGAAGAAGATGGGCGCGGCCGTTACACGTGCCGCGCTTGGCACCGAAATTGATCCGAAGCTGATGCGACCGCTAGGATTGCAGCACAAGAAACTACAAGACGCTTGAAGACTCTCAGATGCCTCTGGCCCTACCGCGAATGTAATGAATATACAGCGACGGTCACCGGACACACGCGCTTCCTGTCGTGATTCGCCACTAGCGGTGTGCACACACTGCGTATTCAGGAACCCTTCCTTGTGTCTGCCTTCTAAACTCACCACGGCGCACTAAAAAACTGCAGACTACGAGACTGTAGACCAGAAGACTAGGTACGGACAGTCCTGCGATTGGATATCTTCTGCAATAGAAGAACATGACATAATCTCGGCAGTACAATTTACTTGACTTTTGTGTCGACAGCTGAAAAAATCACGAATTAAACGAGCCAGAGACGAGAGAGGCGCAGTTACAGTAGAGTCCCGTAAATCATTCGAAATCCCCACCCTTGCAGCTGAGGTTCCGTCCGGCGTCTAGAATTCATCCGTGAAGAGCCTGAAGCTTCTTTCGAATAAAAATAAAATTCTCCGTACCTTAGTCGCCTGCGGCGTGCTACTGCGGCTTTTGATACTGACACTAACAGGGTTACAACTTACAAGTGTAGGTGACATTATAACATCATCTTGGTTCGGGTTCTCAATTTCTCATATATGATATCACGGGCATTTTGCCTTGAAGAACCAAAACCTTGTATACCTAGTCAGTGCACGTTTTTCTCAAACGAGGTATACCGTATACGGCTGTTTTATACGGAGCGGATACAATGGAAGCCTTGACTCTTGAGCACAAGTAGAGTCTAGTCACCGGAATGGTATGGATGACGGATGTCGATACAGGTATGTCACGTACTTACCTACATAGTTATCTTCATCTCTCACTAGCCTGCCTATCCGTGCCGTGCCTAGTCAGGTTCGTTGCCTAGACATTTCCTTATAATACAGTAGTCAGACCAAGGAAACACGCTATATAAATGTAGGTTACTGCCCTTTTTCGTTTAAAAGAGCAGTGCATATCTCCTTTTTTTTCGATTTAGTTTCTTCTCGATTCCTACATAATTACCAACCCAACTGTCGCGATCGGATTATTCGAAAGAAAAAAAAAGAAAGGAATCCCACTCTGGACCGATATACGATACACGATACACGATACACGATACACGATACACGATACACGATACACGATACACGATACACGATATACGACACACGATACCGATACAATGCACCTCCTCTCACTACTCACACTCATCGGCCTCCTCGGTAGCAGCGCTGTAACGGCTTTCCCGTATCGCGACAGTCCTTATTTTCGTGGAAACGACTGTAACAACCGTTGCGATGCGTGGTCGGCTTGCATGAGGAGTGGGCTTTCAGCGAGATGTACCCCCGTGCCGACGACTCAGTGTAAATGTTTTGATAATCCGCCGCCGAGTATGTTGTCTCTTTTTTTTTCCCTTTTTTTTTCCGTTTTTTTGGGGAGGAAGCAAGGGATGGAGGGAGAGAGGGTTGCGGTTCTTGATGTTTGGTTGATTGGGTGCTGATTTGGGGTCCTCTAATTTAGCTGTGCCTTTGAACTGATCGGTTGGGCTGGAGACTGTTGGCTTGGAGGGTAGAGTTGGAGAGGATCGGGAGGGGAGGAGAGGGAGAAGGGAAAAGGGAGAGAGTTTTGATGAAAATTTGGGAACAAGAGAGAGATATCCAGGACGATAGAGAGTACGAGAAGAAGTTGAGAACTCAGGCTCGAAAGTCAGCAATGTATCTGCAGTACCTACGCCAGTACAGTATATAAACAGAAACTAGAGGCAAGTGCCTCGAGAACGTACCACTCAATAGTACCTACTAGTAGGAGTAGTAGTAGCTGCCCGCGCTTTTATTCTTCCGGATACACCATTTTCCTCGTCACACCCCCATCCACCACCAGCTCCGCACCACTCACCCCATCATTCTCCACCAGATACTCCACAGCTTTCAAAACGTCCTCCACGCGCCCCACACGACCTGTCAAATGCCACGCGTGATCCTCTCTCGTCAACCCTTCTTCCCACTTCTGCCCTTTCTCATCCGCCTCTTTGCATTCATTCGCCACGTGGATCCATCCGGGTAAAATGGCATTGACTCGGATGCCTTGCGGCGCGAGAGAGACGGCCATGCTCTGAGTGAGACCGAGCAGACCGGCTTTGGTGGCGGAATATGGTTCGTTGTTGGGCTCGGACATGAGTGCTCGGGTGGAAGATATGTTGATTATCACACCTCCTCCTCCTGCTCTTTCTCCTTCGGGCCTTGATGATGAGGAAGAAGAAGAAGAAGACTTGAGGAGAGGTAGACAGGCTTGAGAGAGGAGCATGGGAGCCGTGAGATTGGTCTCGACGGCGGAATTCCAGTCTTCTAATGTGAGTTCGGAGAGGTGCGAGCGGCCCACGCTTGATGTGTCTGCGGCATTGTTGATGAGGACGTCGAGATGGCCATTGAAGAAGGTTTTGGCGTCGGCGACGGTTTGTTGAATTGCTTGATGTTGACGGAGGTCACAGAGGGCGGAGGTGTATCTGGTACTTGAGTTGTGATCTTTTGATATGTTGGTGATTATATGTTTGAGCTCAGCTTCGTTGTTGTCGACTAGGAACACTCGATGGCCCTTTTGCAGCAGAAGTCTACTCAGGCCTCGACCTATGCCTCGGCCAGCTCCGGTGATAAGATAGTTCTTGGATGCCATTGTAGTATTGTTGGCGAGTTGTGTTCTGATGGGGTACATGTACCTGATTGAATTTATGCCAAGGCATTGGAAGCTACGTCATTGTCCACCAGACAGTGTATTGCAGTGCACTAAATCACATTAGGTCTGCCACGTTCGACTTCACCTGGAGAACACCCTCTACGTTCATCACCATCCGTTACAAACTCATCGATCTCGAGCGTAGGTACTGATAGAATGTGAATGCTCTAAGCACTCTGTTGCCCCAAGTTAGCGTGACCTCTGAGATTCCCATCAGCAACTGCAAATCGCCTTCCACATATATATAGCATACCTTACCTTCTTCCAATTCAGGGCAATAGCGGTCCCGTCTGTAGGCGTGGTATGAGCCTTTTTTTGCCACCACAGTTACACGCATAATTTGGGTGGCCCTCATCAAAATGTTGCGGTATCCCTATACTGTTGTATAGTTTCCGGAGGCTATCCTTGATGCAGAAATTCTACTGGCCAATGGCTTTTCGTTGTGCTTACATGGACGGCTGATGCGGGGTGAGGTGAGGTTAGTATGCGGGTAGGTAGGGTTTGGATGTGATTGAGTTGACTGCCAGTTACATTATTTCATTTAACATAAGCCGACTCATTTCATTCCTGTCCCTCTTTCATCTCATTCTGTTTCTGTCACTATGGCACCAATCTCAATAGCAGCCCTCAATTCTGCAGCTTGCACGGCCCAGCTGAGAAAGCACCCGGTTGCGAAAATTCAGTCGAGTCTCGGATGTGTAAAGAGGATTCGCTAGAGAAAGGTCATGTACCACACACTGGCGGAAGAGGCTCCAGATCTCATCGTGAGCTTCGGCGTCGTCGTTCATGGCCAAACAAGTTGTGGCTTCTCTGTGATATAGTGCATGAATTGATTCGGGCACTGGTTATCGTACATCGCACCATGTCGGGCAGTACACTAAAGGTTGTAGCTTCCGCAGGACTTTCTTCTGCGTCTGAGGTGCTCAGAAACCCATGGCTACGGCTTCTGATTCTGCTTCGTCGTTGCGAATGGCCTTTTCGATGCGATCTATCATGTCCGGCGGAGCCTTCATGATGGATCCAGAATGTCCGCTCTCGCGTAACTCGGCGTAGACATCACTTGGCGACTCTCTCGAGCGAGGGCGCTTCTGACTGCCCGAAGGTGGTGTCCTGGGCGCTGAGGGACCATCCATCTGCGCACTAAGCTCATCTAAAAACTCATCGGCCTTTCTCTTGGCACTCTTCTTTTGGACTTCCAGTCTCCTAGCCTCGATCTGCGCTCGTCGCTCTGCCATCTTGCTGTCTCGTTCTTTTCTCTTTCGTTCTGTCTCGGCTCGCTCGTTCTCAAGATTCTCCATCTGCTTCTTTCTCTCGTCCGCATCGCCCGAGAACTGGAAGAACCCTGTGCCCTTCGTCCTGATTTCCTTATTGCCATCGAAGTGCTCGTCGGGTGGAGGAGTCAGACTCTTATCCCTCTTCTTGGCCAACTCCGCCATCTGTGCAGCCCTCGGTTCATCCAGATCGAAAGCTTGATGCTGTATCGTATCTCCTCGAATGACATGACTAGGAGCGGCAGGCAATACGCCAGTTCCTTCTTCTTGGCGCTGATGTTGCTGGGTCGCACGCAGCGCATCGATCTTGGTCCCTTTTCTCGTTCTGCCAAACTCATCGACGTACTCTATCTCTTCTTCATCGTCTTCACCAGCACCGTCATCGTCTGAGTCACTCTCCTTCTCATCGGCACGCCCTGCAGCCCACTTGGCGTCGAAATCCACCGCATATCGTTCGTCGGCATCTTCCACGTCTCCTCTCTTCATGGCAGCATATAGGCGGGCCTTTTCTTCCATCTTGCGTTTGCTTCGCTCCCAGATGCCCTTGTCGAGTGATTCGCCGTTTGTGGTGTGCTTCTGCTCAAAAGACGTGGAATCATTTGCTTCGAGATCGCGTTTCGCTCTTTTCGCGGTGTTCTTGTTGTGTGTTGCGAAAATGTCCTCTTTCTTCGCTTTCGAGCGACCAGAAGATGGTTTCGAGGTGTTCAAATTTGTGCTGATGAGGGAGCTCAACTGTGAGGTGAAGGAGAGGGTGGAGGACGAGGAGATGGCCTTGCCCTTGGAGAGGTTGCGGCGCTTCTCCTGGTTGTAGAGGTGCTTGTCTTTGTGCGACTCCATGGTGAAGTGTGAGTTGTGAGTTGTGAGGGTTGTCGAGTTGGTGTCGTGATGTTCAAGTTGAAGGACGAGCGAAAGAGCTCATAGCACATATAGATACTGTACTAGCGCCGATCTGATCCCTGCCGATCCCTGCATACAATCAGCCTTGCGACAATGGCCCCGCTGTTCGGAGGGGGGAGGCACAATAGAAGATATTCTATCAGCCCCATTGTGAAGTTATTTTAACCCTCTAACAATCACAATCACGATAGTCACAATGGCGAAAACCATCTTCATCGCAGTCATCGGCCTCGGTGGCGTCGGCAAAGCATTTCTCTCGCAACTCGACTTCCTCCGCCAACGCCTGGCAACGCAGAACCCGCCCATCGACCTCCGACTCATCCTCGCGCGTCGAAGCACCAAACAGCTCTTTTCTCAAGACTTCTCGCACCTGAACATCCACACTGTCACTGGTGATGTCGACAGCAAGGGCACTCCGCCTCCGCCTTTCAACGAGACATTCGGGCAGCTCGCGAGAGCTCCGGGGCGAGTCGTACTGGTCGACAATACGAGCGATGTCGGTCTCGCCAGTCTCTATCCCATGGTGTTACAGCGCGGTATCAGCATTGTGACGCCCAACAAGAAGGCTTTCAGTGACAAGTTTGAGTTGTGGGAGAGCATTTTCAAGAGCGCTGCGAACGGCACGGGATCCCCGAGCAACGGTTATGTCTTCCACGAGTCGACTGTGGGTGCTGGACTCCCTGTCTTGTCGAGCTTGAAGGAGCTGGTCGAGACGGGCGATGAGGTGACGAAAATTGAGGTGAGAAGATTATAGAACAATTAGATTCTGCTGCCCATGCTAATTCAGGACAGGGCGTGTTCTCGGGCACCATGTCGTTCTTGTTCAACTCCTTCCAGCCTCTTGGTGGAGGAGGAGGCAAGTTCGCCGCCGAAGTGAAAAAGGCCAAAGAGCTGGGCTACACCGAACCCGACCCTCGCGACGATTTGAATGGTCTCGATGTAGCACGAAAGCTCACCATTCTTGCTCGTATTGCCGGACTGCCAGTCGAGTCACCCACATCATTCCCAGTGCAATCACTCATCCCCTCAGAGCTTGAGTCCGCCAGCTCAGGGGACGAATTCCTGCAGCGTCTGCCCGAATTCGACGCTCAGATGGATAAGCTCAAGGATGAAGCCACGAAAGAAGGCAAAGTCATTCGTTTCGTCGGCAGCATTGATGTGCCCTCCAAGCAAGTCAAGGTCGGGCTGGAGAAGTTCGACGCTTCACACCCCATTGCTGCGTTGAAGGGCAGCGACAACATCATCAACTTCTACACGAAGCGCTACGGCAGCAACCCTCTCATCATCCAAGGAGCTGGCGCCGGCGGAGATGTCACTGCCATGGGTGTGACTGGAGATCTGCTCAAGGTCATCCGAGTGCTGCAATAGATAGATGTATATACCCACAAAAGTTATGAGAACATGCTTATCTTACTCTACACACCCCCTCCAGACTAATGAATTATCCCTGATGACCAACGACCAACCCTAACCATAGAGCTTAGGTCGTCGAAGAATAAGCCGATTCTTCTTTTTTCAAGAGTCAAGAGTCAAGAGAAGGGAGAATGGAGGCAAAAAAGACAATGTATCATGTATCATTACAGCCCAGGTACCGTATGTATACAACAACAATACACATCTGACCCGCCCGCACGCCTGCTGAATCCTCCAGCGCCAAACACAGAAAAACAGGGTATCAAGCCTCGCGGCAAATACAATCGTAGCATCTGTTGTCCCAAAAAGAAGTATGCTGTTGGTCTTTCCATAAACCCTCCTCGTCGCTGTGGTCCTTGGCACTCGTCCTGTTGCTGCTGCTAAACATGTTCGTTCATCAATCCATCCCATAAAAACACCCGACAGAAACACCAAAAAGCGCCATCGCCAATATTCGATACAGTATGAAAGAGCGGTGATAGAAGAGAATCAGCAGCATCGTCCCTTCTTCATGCCCTTGTTCACTTCCTCTTGCATGTCATGATCGCTGTAATTCGTCATACCTCCCGGCGTAAGAGCTCCCAACCAACTCCTTCTCTTATCTCCGTGGCCCAAGCGAAAGCTGCCGTTCCCAACCTGTGGAATGTCGAAATAGCAACCGGGTGTGCCATTCCCTCCCTCGAATCCTGGAGTCTTGCCGGCAATCTCTTCCAGGATTCTCAACTTCTCTAGCCTTCGAGCATTTTGCTCAATCAGCTTTCTCGTCACCACTCGAAACACCTCTTCGATGCCTTCTCCATCTTTGGCACTGATCTCGTGACAGCAGTCCCACACAAAAGTCGAATCGCTCTGTCCCCAAAATCCAGAACTACGATTACTCTTCGGGCTGTGCACCGGGTTGTTCGCACGTTCATTCGTAGCAGATTGTATCGGGTACAGACCACTTTGTCGACTCTGTGGCGGAGAATGGACCATAGACACAGCCTGCGGACTCATACTCCCGACCAGGTCCTTGCTGGCCACCTGTTGCGAACCAGGCGGCAGCAGCTGGTCCGCGACATAGCCTATACATCTCTCGAACGGCACCTCTCTCCTCCAAGGCTCTTTGCTCACCACGTCGCTCTTCGTGCCCACAATGTGCAAGATCATATCCTCGTCCTCTCCGACGTTGTCTTTGAGTTCCTTCAGCCAAACGCCCATGTCGTCAAAGGATTTCTTGGATGTCACGTCGTAGCAGAGGATGGCTGCGTTCGCTCCTCGGTAGTATAAACGGGAAATGGAACGAAAACGTTCTTGGCCGGCGGTGTCCCAGATTTGTAGACGGATAGTTGCGCCGCTTTCTGGATCGTTGACTCGAGTGGTGAGGAAGGAGGCGCCGACTGTAGATTGGGATTTGGAGGGTTCGATGAAGCTGTTTTTGACGTAGCGATGGACGAGAGATGTCTTGCCTACGCCTTGTGAGCCGAGGACGACGAGTTTGGCCTCGAGGTTCGAGGGAGGCGCGTGGTTGGCCATGTTGTCGAGAGAGGGTCGTGTAGGTGGTGTTAGTAATTGCAGATGGTGGCTCGGTCTACTATTTATTAACGACGTGAGAGGTGTCTCGCTCTGTTGTCCATGTTCTATGTCTGTAGGCGGACACTGTCTTTCTCGCCGGTGTGTGTAGGTGTGTTGTGTGTCGCGAGTGAATGAAACTTCGCAAGAAGGGACTCCACCTGCAGACCGGCGGCTGTCTCCACTACATGATTCTTGTTTCTTTTGCCGGGAGAGCGGAAGGAGACAGTCCAGCGCGATGAGTGTAGTAGGAAGTAGGCGTGGCACCTGATTGATATTGATGATGATGCGAATCAACACGCGACGGCGACGGCGTGACTGAGCCTTGACCGCTCTCTGCCATGTGGTGCCGCGCATCTGATCCCATCGTCATCCCTGCCGCGGATGCCAGCTTGAAGTCGAAGAGACGACAGGCGACGTTGTTTCGTCTTTGCTGGTGAGATAACATTCCACCATAGTTATCATCAAAAGACAGGGAGACACAGACGACGACGCCCTTTCAGAGCAGAGGCCCAACGATACCTCATATACAAAGGCCAGGTACTGGTGAGGTACTAGTAATAGTGGGTCCGTCCCTTTGCGCGTCTCTACATCCGACACGTGGAACCATCAGGTATATTCCTTGCATCGAGACAAGACTTACCATCAGCTTCCTACTTGCAGCAAGATTCTTCCTATAGCACGTATCACTCACATTTCCACCGACGAGAATACGGAATTGCAGGCGTTGGGAAATGGTGGCGCTGCAGCAATTAGGACGATATTGATATCACAGCCGGATTTAAGAAACTGGGCAGGACACGACGCTACTGCAGAGGTGCTCTCGGCATGAGTACTACATGTACCTCCTACCTCCTATGTGTAATCGTCTTTACCGCAGAAAGAGGGAAATGAAGGTCGGTTCTTCAAAAGTTTCAAGAACAGGGAATGCGAACATCTGTAGTACAGGGCGCTAGGAGACTGAAGATTGCCGCCGTATACTGCCTCTGTGTCTGGATACTCAAGACCTCCGTCAGTGCAGAGAGTTGCAGAGAGCTCTGGTGCTGAAGAACTTTGCATATGGATCTGTACAAGACCATCATGACTGCCAAGGTTAGTATTAGTCTTAGATGAATGGGCCGGCAATGACCATATCTCTGCCAAGTCTGGAGGTGGCTGTACTCGCTCGTCCAACATGCCTCTCGCGACAGAGCTTTACGTTGTCCTGTGGCTTCATAACACTTATAACTAGGAACTTGCTCCACACCTAGCATCTCACATGCGTACAATAGAAGCTGCATCCCTTATCAGCATCAGCAGAGATGAGAGGTAATTATCATTGTTCCGCGCAGGTGGCCATCGTTCCATTTCTGTTTCAGCCCTACGAGGGCTGTTGCAGGGGTCCTCAAGCAATTGCGGAGTCGACCAGCAACGACAGCGCGCTCGTTGAAAGTATAGGACATAGGCCTGTCCAGCAGGTCATCCGGGGCATCAGTACGCAGCTGTAGAGTAGGGTGGCTGCTTGGAGACGTAGACAAAGGTCTGCTCCCTTTTCCACTATATCTGGATATAGTGGAGCGGGTGAAGAGGGTATTACTATGCACCTGCAGCCAGAGTCTGTCGGTCGCATCGCAATCCCGCCTGCGGCCATGTTGATTCTTGTTCTTCCGATTTCGATTTGTTGCTTTAAAAGGTGCTTTCTCTCCATAGTCCGCCGAAATCGGGTATGTAACTGACTTCTGGTCGATAGGTGTACTTCAGGCGAATTGATAAAGCGACATTGTCCATGGACCAACAAGCAGCGTTCCTGCTCATTAGTGGAAGAGACTCGGGAGCTCAACCTGATGTATTCACTCGTCTGTCACGGTATTTGGTAACCGGATTCGCCAGTACTGGGATGACACGCTTAGACAGATCGCGCGTCTGATTGTCGGCCGATCGCGTCCTACACGCAGATGAGGCCACCGCTGATGAGGCCATGGCAAGCTGTATCACGATCAAATCTGGAGCGGATGTTAGGGTATCGCCCTGTTTACTGCATCCAGGAGTGCAGCCGAGGAGGATCGAGCGACAGTATTATTGGTATACATGGAGAAGCGAACCGAGCAACAATTTCGAGTGTGCTGGTGGTGGGAGAAACCTAAGTCGAAAGAGTGGGTCAGGAGAAACAACAAGATGTGCTTGGCGCCAAAGTTGATCCACAGTGTCTTGTCCTTTCCACGAGCCTACGATTACTGTCTGAAGCCTACCACGTCGCACAAAGAGCCCTTCAGCTCTGAAACATGCTGGTTTGGTGCGAGTCTGCTGCGATCAGAGAGGTTGGAGGTGTGCTGACCACGAGGCGGCAGTGGGGAGCGCCCATTGTGTGGGCATGATGTAGTCGTGAGACACGTCACGTCCACAATCCACATTCTCCACGATCGTTCCCTGTCACTCGAACCTCACCTCATCTCTTCCTTCCTCTGCTCGCAACAAACAATCGAACGCAGGAAGGTACGCGCAATCATGGCAATGCGCCTGCTCTGCTTCCACGAGACGTTGCACTCCTGTCATTCACGGAGACATGGTTCTGCATCGCAATCCAGCTGCTTCAGGAGAAGGAGTTGGCCTCTCGTGCTGGTGTGAAGGAGTGCAACGGCCTGTACCGGCCTTTCGCCTGCATACAATCTCGAAAATTTGGTGCGCATGCGGGAAACATCCCGAACACTTGGGCGTCTCTATTGAGAGGCGTTTGCCTGCCATGGCTGCCACTGGAACTGAGGGAACATGCTCGCGAGACCCTCTCCACCAAAGTCTATCGCTACTCCACCCCAATGGAACAATCGCCATAGACGCGACGAGCGTGTCGTACCTGCCTCCACTGCCGCAAGATGCAATGAGACCTGCTGGCTTCCGCGCTTCCACGACTGCTCGCGAGGGCATGGCATTCGTATGCGCTTGAACCGCCGTGAACCCTCGGCGCGTCTCTCCTGTGGTACGCAGCACCGTCTTGTGCCTCCAACGTTTGCATTGCCTCTGCCTTCATCACGGGACTCCTGTAATGGGCAACGGTCGGCCTGGATCTGCACAGATAGGCTCATGGGAGTGGCTTGAGGTTTCGCTCTAGGCGAGGTCACTGTCCACTGCAAGGCGCAACACGCTACCGTCGACCACGTTGTTCCAAGATTAAGGCGTAAGGTAGGTAGGTAGGTAGGTCGGAATAGTGGTAGGAGGTAGGAATAGCAACGAAGGTCAGTATATAGCACGCCTCGTCTGCCCGTAATCGAGGAATCATCCACTCACTACTCCTTCGTTTCTTCTCTGCTCCTCTCTCTCCCCCGCCGGTGTCCAGCCTCCGAGCCATCGTTCACCATGCAGTTTTTGGTACTCGTCTCTGCTCTCTTGAGCACCGGAGCTGTTGCTCAGCTCTCTTCAGTGGTCAACAAGGCCTGTAATACCAGATACTCTGTGAGCCCAACCACCAGAATCAGGACCACCACATACAGGGCCAGCATCACAAGGACTGTCGGCAGAACACTCGTGGTAAGTACCTAGCAACAGTCGATCGCATTCGCTAGACGTGCACGCTCATGCCGAATGCTTCCCTACAGATCAACCCTGTCGCGACCGTCACATCGGCACCGTCGACTTTCTTCACGACATCCACGTCGACGGCCTTGGCCACTGTCACGGCAGCTTCGTCCACAGATACCTTCACGGCTTTCCAGACCGTCACTCAGACACAGACCTTCACCAACACCCAGAGCTTCACAACGGCAACTACGGTACTCAGCACCACCTTGGTCGCCGGCATCACCCGCACTGTCGCTGCTCCAGCTGGCTTCACCGCTCTTGCCGACTCGCCCGGCTTCTCTGCCAAGAAGCGTAGCCCTCTGCTCGAGAGACGCGAGCCCCATGTCTCGCGTGACACCAAGATGAGGTACCACCTCCCAGCTCTGCCTGAGTCCGGCAAGGCTCTCAATGCCCGCCAGAACGGGGGCTCCGGAGCACAATTCCCCGTGGGCGTGCAGTGCACATCCCGAACCACCTTCTTCGCCACGAGCACGACTACTTCGACTGCTGTCGGCACCGGTGGCGCCTCGACCGTCACCGTTGTTGCACCAAATGTCGTCAGCACTGTCACTGTCTCCACCACCGGCACGACCACGGTAAGATCACCGCCGCCTCTGCTTTCTTCATCGCTCTTGCTCACTTCCATCTCAGATTGTCCCAGCCGATGCTACCACTTTCGTGACCGTGTCGACCTTTGTCTCCGCCACCACCACATCAACCTCTACCTTTGTCACCACCCAGTCTGCTACCATCACTATCCGTGCACCAGCTGCCACTCAGTACGCTCAGTGCCAGACCAACAACCAGATCAGCTCGGTCTTTGGTGGCAACCAGATCGGAACGCTCACCTTCAACGGAGACTTTGTCCTCCAGTCTGTCAATGTCACCGACACCACCGGAGCTGGCTGCTGCAACGTTTGCGCCACCACTGCCAACTGCGCTGGTTACGCTCAGTCTCCAGCTACTGCTGGCAGCATCTGCTACTTCATCGTCACCGATGGCCGCTGTGACCCATCTCAGACCTTCACCGACACCTACAACTACTACCAGATTGACACGGCTGGTTACACTGTTGGTAATGCACAGTGTGGACAGCTCGGACCTCAGGCTGGTCCACCTCTCGGTGCAGATGGTGGTCAGGCTGCGTAGAATTTTCTTTTTCCTCGACGATGATGGGAATGACGAGAAGAGGATTGAGAGAGAAGGAAGAGTGAGAGAGAGCGCAGAAGGAAAAAAGCGCTCGATTGAGCTCAAGAGGGGATCACCACTCTCGCTCTTCTTCCTTTCCTTCGACGAAAACAAAAAAGAAAACAGACCAGCTTCGCATATCGAGTGGGTGTTTTTAGCTTAATCTCTTAGTGTTCATATATTTGTGTGCGATAATGTGAACATATCTCTACACCGTAGACAGCTTCGAATTTACCTTCGTACTCCTCGCTTGGTGATCAGCATCGCGTTCCGAGAGTTCCAAAGTTCGAGAAGTATAGAGGTATTTGTACATCTCTAGCAGACGAGAGTAGAGGAAACTGACCTATCTGCATTGCCTCATCATGTTCGGACAAGCTGTGTGTTACAACTTATTAGGAAACAAAGGCGCATTCCTCCCACCCCGAAACAACTCCAACATTTCCTTCCCCATCCACATCCCCCTCGCCTTCGCAATCCCCTCTTCCACCTCCTGCATCCGATTCGCCTGAATCACCACTCCTCTTCCATTCCCCTGCAACCCTTTCATCCCCATCAAATTCGCCACAGCCAACGCCACCGTTTCCGCAGAATTGATCGGAACGCCCTTGGAAGCCATTTCCTCGCCCCAATTTTCTATACTTTGCCCTTCTTTCCGACCGAGAATAATCGGAGTCAGAGTAATTCCGGGCGCGATTACGGAGATGGAAATTCCGGCTTGCGCGCAGTCGGGTTTTAATGCTCGCATGTATCCCACTACACCGTGTTTGGCTGCGGAGTAGAGAGGGGCGCCTGCGGATGCGAGATATCCTGCGAGAGAAGCTGTCATGACGATACTATTACTGCCTTGACTTCGATCTCGAGTTTCGGCGGTGGAACTAGAAGAACGGTCTTTGCGGCGACGGCGGAGATGATGCATGGCTAGTTTCAAGGTATCTCCCACGGCGCGAATGTCGACGTCGATGGTCGCTCGGTTGGGTTCTTGGAGTTGGCCATCTGCGTCGTAGACGTCTGTCCAGATTTGTTCGCCGATTTCTGAAATTCCTGCGTTGATGAAGACGTGGTCGATGCCGGAGAATTTGGCGGCTCCAGCTGCGAAGGCGGAGCGTTGGGAGGGCCAGTCGAGGATGTCACAGGGCAGGTATAGGAAGCGGGAGGATGTGATCAGTTCTTCGATGGGAGGTGGGGTGGAAGATTTGTCCAGTGCTATAATGTTGTTCTTGTATTGAGGCTTGTGGAGGTAAAGTGCGGTTGCTAGGCCGATGCCGCTGAGGATTTGTTAATTATTTAGTCTACCTACCGTAGGTATTGGTGGCCTGGAAGTGAAAGATAAGGTAATGTAGCAATGCATACCTTGCAGCTCCAGTGATAAGGATGGTGCTATTCTGTGGAGGATTGGCAGTCGCCTCTGTCAGTGTGTATACGGGCGAAGCCATGTCTCCGATCAAACGAGTATCAATAGCAGGTCAGTAAATGTGAGTATATCGATATTTTGAAGCAACATCTTTGAAGCAAAACCAGGCGAAACACAGCTGAGGGGTTGAAGACCTCGGCTGGATACAGGTAGCTCAGATTTTGGCACACACACACACACTCTCTCTCTCTCTCTCTCTCTCTCTCTTGACAGCGAATCCAGATATCGACCAATTTGTGCAGAGAATATTGTGAAGCACGCAGGGAAAAATCAATGCGACTACCTAGGTAAGCAGGGAAAAAGGCATTTATATTATTCCAGGGGGAACCAACACGGAATGGAGTCGATGTCGATGGCATATTGTCGGCTGCAGTTGCCTTGCTGAGTACAGGGAATATGAACGCAGGGACTACCTGAGATCTGGACCGGGGGCCTAGAGGCTAGGGCTTACACCGGGAGCATGGTAAGGCACCTCCTATGTAGGATGGGCATATGAAAAGGGAATTGGAGAGGTTACATGTAGACAAGGTACATATTGCAGCAAACAGTGGTTGGTAGAAGTGGTAGGTCATGTATCGTCAACCGTGGCTGTATGGGTACCTACCTAGCCATATACAGAAATTGTACATCGTACAATAAACAATAGGATAACGCTGTAATGTCCAAAGGCTTGTACACGCGGCCAGCATATGCTTTTCAGTGCCAGCAGCATAAGATCACCAGCTGCTTCAACTAGGAAACTCCAACAATCTACGAAACGTCTTCTGTAAACATAGACCGCCTCTCTAAGGGGCTGTCGTCTGTGCTTGACTTCTTCTTGTGCGCGCTCACGCCTCTCTTGCCGCCGTGATAGGAGGTATCAGTATCAGGTCTCGGACTGACACTACGCATGCTCATGTTACTCTGCTCCGCACCATCACTGAATGGGTTGAGATGTGATCCGCCTGCTCCTCCTCCGTGAACTTCCTCATCGTAGCGGTCGTCCAGCTCTCGTTGTCTTGATCGACTGCGCCCTCGTCCAGCTTCTAGACCACCAATTCCGATATGAGTGTTCTCGGCGTAGCCGTGTCCTCCGTATGGTCCTTGTGCGGGATCCTGTAGGCCCAATTCCTGCTCCTCGTAGTAGCCTGAGGCCTCGTTGTCTACGCGCGCATCCCACGCTTCGTCTGGATCTAGAGGTCCGAAGCCTCTCCGCCCTCCTCGTGGTGCTCCGCCATAGCCGGCTGTGCTTTCGTATGATCCGCCTGGTGTGCGTTTATTCTGTAGCGCATGCCACTTGTCCATAACCCAGCCTTGCACGCCGCCGGCACGCGGCGCAGGCGCTCTATATGTTGGGTCCTCTCGTTTCTTCGCGAATGGATTCAGCGGCGGTGGTGGGAGGCCTAGGCGATTGGCTCGCCATCTCGTGTAGCTGCGATAGGATGTCAGCCTGATCGTGGTCAAGCTGGTAATACCTGTGGTTAATGTGCTCACCCAACATAACCTCCTGCTGCCGCTATCAATGCAAAAACGAGGATAATGAGAAACACTCCCCATCCGGATATCGCCATTACTTATGGGCGTCCCATGCAATACGGCGATGCGCAGAAGCTGGCGCTCGAGCGGGAGGTACTGACTTCGTACGGGCAGTCGTTGTTCGTGGGAATCGCGCTGTTCAGGTAGTGCGTGATCAGGTGGTTGAACTGAGACTTGGAAAGTTCGAAAGGTCCGGCGATATGATGTTCGGCTTGAAGTCGTGGTCGGTTTCGCAGCCCAAGAGTACGAGCACAGCCTTGACGCTGATCCATGTGAGGCGCAATCGCATTTTAAGGTCATCGGGCAAGAATACGCGAGCGATGATGGTATGGATTCACTCTGCAACTCCACGTCTAGAACATCATCCGATAACACGGACATATATCCAACTACCTGTACTTCGTCCCGCCATACAGGAGATGGATGCGGCAGAGCCGTTATCTGCTCAAACAGAGGGCAAAATTGACGGAAGACTAGCAACGCTCTTCTACAAGCCCACCGATGGCGACGAGGAAGGCGGACTTGGCTACGTCGAAGGCCACAAAGTCTGTACGTTTTCGCAATAGATAATGATAGAGATGCACTTGCTCAGTCAGATTAGTTCTGACTATATACACGTTGAGCAGCCGCAGATTCGCAATGGACTATGATTCCAGCTAAAAACATCCTTGTTTGTGCTCCCACGCAAGGCGGCGAGGAGGGCGATCACCACTGTCTCTATGTTGAAGAGAACCAAGATGCTGCACAGGACTCATCAGCGTCTCCGGTGTTGTTCAGAAAAGTCATTCTGAACAACCCCCCAGACTCGCTGATCAAGGAGTTCATAGCTCCAGCTAGTGGAGCCAACTGGGAAACCAGGCAAGATCGTGGAGGTGTACAGGCCAACTTCCACATTATCGTCTCTACTGGCTCTGGCACTGGCCTGGCACTAGGAGTATGGAATCAGCTTGTGAAGCCAGCTCTTGACTATATCAAGGTTCAAGAGAGCAAGGACTACGTCCTCCATATCACCACGTCAGAAAACAGCATTTCTGATTTGACACGAGACATTCTCCTGCCTCAAGCGAACCTTGGTATCAGCCAATCTGTGATGTTGATGAGTGGCGACGGCGGAGTGGTCGATATAGTGAACACTCTTCTTTCTGGCCAGCGAGGTCATAAATACAAGAAGCCAAATATCGCGCTCCTACCTCTTGGCACTGGCAATGCATTGGCACACAGTGCTGGACTCACTCAGGATAACAGTCTTGGTCTTAGAACGTGGCTGCGAGGAGGCCTGAAAGAGCTTCCATTATTTTGTGCGAAATTTTCCTCTGGGGCTCGATCACTTTTTGATGAAGCTCGCCAAGAGCGCCCGCTTCATGTCGAGAACGACGTCGCTGTAGCTTATGGCTCTGTCGTAGCATCATGGGGCCTGCATGCCGGCCTTGTTGCTGACAGCGATACCACAGAATTCCGGAAATTTGGCGTCGAGCGTTTCAAGATGGCCGCTCAACAGGCCCTGGCTCCTAGCGACGGATCACTGCCTCACGTCTACAAAGCGAAAGTCTCAATCCAGCGTCCAGGCGACCGTTCGTGGCACGTGCTTCGAAATGGGGAGCACGCATACGTGCTCGCGACGTTGTGCAATCAGCTGGAGAAGAGTTTTACCATAAGTCCCGCATCAAGTGCTCTAGATGGCAAGTTGCGTTTGGTACACTTTGGTCCCATGAGCGGAGATGAAGCCATGTCTATCATGGGCAAGGCGTATCAGGGCGGACTGCATGTCAATGATGAGCGTGTCGGGTACGAGGAGATCGAAGCTCTCCGAATCGAGTTCCAAGAAGAAGAGGGACGATGGCGCCGTGTGTGCATAGATGGCAAGATTATTCGAGTCGAGAAAGATGGTTGGGTTGAGGTTCGATCTGGGCAGGCAGGGGTGGTTGATCTCGTGGTATGAGCAGGCTTGCATACCAGCAAAGACAGGTAAACCCCTCGACAGTCACTTCTACAGTACTTGGGTTGGACCGGCGCATGGATGGGACTTCTTCACTACGGCGCTCAATGGAAACACCGCATTGCACAGCACAAGGACGCCGCATTAGCATCGCTGCAGCTTCAAGGACGGACGAGAAAGCAGAACAAACCTCGCCGGATTTAAGATCGAGCAACCACAGAGTTTCGGAGCAGATATCTCCCCAAATTCCGACACATGCACTCGAATCAAGAAGTCTATTCCTTCGCTCATCTTCCTCCTATCCATCGAGAGAAGGGGCTCACTTCGCAAGAAGCGCTTCATCGCATTCCGTCGATCAAAATGGATATCTGTGTGGCTCCGGGTCTGGAACCAACCTTCGTGCCTACCTATCTCGTCGTGCCACGACACTGGAGCAGCTGGGCTAGGATCTGCGATTCAACAGTGATAGTATACTATCAGGTATGGCTTGATACACGCATCGTGTAATCTTCGCGTCCCTAGGCGAGCGGAAATCTTGCTGTCTCACTCATTGGCGAGCGTACCTAAATGATAAGCTCAGTTTGAACGATAATTTGAATGGACCTACAATGATGCAGGCCCCGAACTATTATACTAGATCGTACGACTACCTTGTAGATATTATCTATGTACGTACTCAGGATTCAACATGATAATGATGGGAGTCGCTCCTACCGGGCTAAGCACTGGGTCGTCATGCTACAGGTTTTTGGGCAACCCTAAGGATTCAAGATCTGATCATGAACCACAAGCACCAACATGCGGAACCTGTCCTGGGGCAGTGCAATACGCCTATAATAATGATGCGAGGCTATCAAGGTTAGTTAAATGTATTGATTCGCACTGGACGCATCGAGCCGCTGCGAGGACCCAACTTTTGCGGAGAGTGGATAGCGAGAGATCGGGGTAAAGTAGCCTCGCTCTTGATGCGAGTGCAGCAGCGTCGATGACAACGTCTCAGATCGGAGCTTGTCGTATCAATACACATCATATTGTACCATATCGTATACAGCAGCCGGGTGCCCCCATCCTACTTGCTCGCCTCACCCATCTCCAGAATCTCATCGAGAAGATTCACCGTCTCGGCCGGGTTGGCAATCCAAGCAGTCGTGGACGCGAGCCGCGCTTTAAAATCGTTGGCACCAGCGCTAAGGAATTGATCTCCCACATGCAAACTCCGACTGCCCTCAATCCCGCCAAAGTAACTCTGACATGCCATTACGCCCCAGGACTTGTCGCCAATGTCGACAAAGACATCGTTGCCCCCGTTGAAAGCGCAGAAGGGAATGCGCTTGCCTGCATCGGACATTTCGAGAATGCGCTGGACGACCAGGACAGTTTCTTCAAGTTGTTCCCGGGATAGCTTCCCCTGTAGGAACATTGTCAGTGGGCTCAGGTAAGGAAAAGGGGGATCATGTCAAAGGGCCGACATAACGAGACAGTGAAGATGGATATCAGTGTTACCTTTGGTGGATATATTCCTACTGCGCGTTCTTTACGGAGTACTTGTACTGGCATGTGCATTGCCTGAACACAATCCTTCAAAGCTGCCTCGGCAACATCAAGCAAGTCGGCGATATTCTCTTCTGTCCAATTTTTCATCTCAGGCAACCGCCACTCATCGTAGGAAATGGGCTGTAGCTTGTGTGGAGCACTGGTATCGAAGCGGAAGAGGAAATTGGCTTCGCCACCCATTACCACAAGTCTGTTGTTCAGATCGAGATTGTGACTCTCAGCGGCGACGGCATCAAGAAGCCCGAACAGGCGTTGATAGTACTTCTCGGCTTCCGTATAGCCTGCTGCTGTTACGATGCCGATGCGCGTCCCGTTTCTCATCAGTGCAAGAATCCTCTCGATGACAGGATTGTCGGGCGAGAGGTTGTGGCCATCGTCGTAAAGGGTGACATCTCCATCGAAGGTGACAAGTTCTAGCTTGCCTGATCGCATGAGGGACATGGCTTGAGCCGTGTTAAGGATGAGGCGAATATCATTGAAAGAAGGTGCGACAAAACGACGCGAGGATATGAAGCGCTTCTTATCTTGCCAGTCAAAGGCGTCCTGCAGTGGCAGAGGAGTGAAGAACGTGCCAATGGAAGGGACAAGTAATTTAAGCTTGGATCTGTTCTCCTTTCCTTTTTTTTGATGAGCGATGTGGTCTACACTAGAAGCGACAGGTCGAGGGTAAGCAGGTCTCTCCGAAGTTGTGTACTATTTCCACCAGCCTGTCTCCCAGCCCCTTGCCATAACGGGCTCGAGATGGGAAACTTGCCATGGACAGCCGATGCCCTTCGACCTGTACTTCACTTACAGTAGCTCTTCGACGTCCTGCATTATTTGAGCGTAGCGCAGGTGAGCTGACTTGGCCATGTTGGCTACGCTGGGCTTGTCTGCCTCGTGGATGTTGGTAGGCTGTGAAAGGAGCACGAACGGCACGGCCAGGAGGCCTTTGATCCATTCAATCTGATAACATTAGCGGAGGAAGCACACAACCGGAAGTCTCAGAGAAAACATACGAACTGATCTCTTCTGTGCGTCTACACAGCATGAGTCCATGCCCGTGCACTCTTTGATTGACGGCAAACACACCTTCAAGGCATCTGTTTCAAGTCAGTGTGGGCGTGCCTAGGCAGCCATTCACCTCTTTGGACTTACACTCGACACGGTACCGGGTGGTCATGATTGCTGATGTGACGGCGTGGTGCCGCAGTAGGAGAAGAAGAAGATGATGATGACGACGAAGAAGAGGAGGAGGAGGAGGAGGAAGAAGAGGACGAGGAAGAGCTTCACATGGAGATGGACAAGGCAAGTGCTGATCGTTGATGGTCACGGCACGAGGAAGGAGCGTCGCCCAAAGTGGAGCTCGGATCTCGCCTAAGGCTGGCTCTCTTCACATGCATGAAATTGGACCCTGCTGTCGATCACTCTTGCCGATCATTTCTCGTCGTCACTTCCACAGCTTCCACAGCTTCCAGTCTTCCTTTTCCCTACCGGTGGGCTTCAGTGTAGCCTCACAACATCTCGATCCATCAACATCTCAATCCATCAACAACCATGCCTGAAGGCGGCGCATCTTTCCGACCGTGGTCGTCCACCGAGCAGGGCACTGCATCGCTTGGAGAGACATTGGCGCAGATCCAGGCTGAGCGCGGCCATTTTCGCAATATTACAGAAGAAGGCCTACGAGCGGAGATTGCTGCCGAGGAGAACGGTCAGGCTTCTCAGTCTGCTAGTGGTGACGAGGAGGATAGCGGGCAAGACGGTGACGCAAGAGATGGGAGGCGGCAGCCAACGACACGACAAGAGCTGTATGCAATCAGAGAAGAGCTCACCAGGAGAGCGCAAGAAGCACACCAAGACGTGCTCGTCACGCTGGACATGGTATCATTGCTGCAGACCACTTACACACCAGCACAGGCTGCTACCACCGTGTCACCAGCTGCCAAGGCGATTGTTCCGCTGTCGTCCCTCGGAGCAGACCTGTGGGCTCGCACTCCCACCGACCCTGCGCGCGATGCACAGGATAGTCTGATCGCGACCAATGTTCGAGCCAAATATTTGAGCGAAAGTGCCGACAGTCTGTTGTCTGCCGCGTCGAGACTCGAAGATAACGTGAGGAAGGAGACACAGTATTGGGATCAGGTCCTCGATATATCGGCCAAAGGCTGGAATGTCAGTCGGATTCCTGGCCAGAAGCAGCGTCTGTTAGGCGTACACTTTGGCCTTAGTGGCAGTGCGAGTGACTCCACAAGCCGCAACATCGCCGCGCTGATTCCAGACGATGAAGGGAACATCAAGCTTGAGCGAGGAGTTGGCAGCCGCCCGAAAGCGGTCAGGGCGATCGTGAAGCGAGGCAGCCAGATTGTGGGGAGCTCAAAGCTGCCAGTCTTACTGGACACTAGTGAGACTACTCTCCAGGCCAGAATTCGGCATGCCAGGGATAGCATCTTCGACGAAGAGCTCTTCCGCGAGATGGTCAGAGAAACGCGGACACTGCTTGCGAGAGGGGTGACTATGAGAGGATCAACCATCGTGTTTGAAGTCTCGGAGACTGAGAGCCCCGAATGCGTGGAGCTTGAGCTGGTGTCTCTCGACGAAGACAACTCTTTGCCCTTCGAATGCTCTAGGGAGTCAGATCACCTAGCTCAGGCTACTCTACTAGCTGCCCGGCTTCTGCTCAATCGTGCGCACCGCGAGAAGATCAAGAAAAAATCATTGCTTCCGCCACCAATGATGCCCGCGGAAAACAAATTACAACCACTACTTATCCTTCGGCCGATACTTACTATGCTGCAGCATTCCTCACATGTGCTGCAAATCAATGCCTATCTCGATACACTAAACCAACTCTTGACGAGGGTGGGTCTCCCCACGACTATCAACACAGCTCGCGTGGCACTACCAATGACTCCGCGAGGTGTCGTTGACACTGAGTCGTTTTTAGATACTTTACTACAGCCACTCTCAGCAGAAGCCAGCATTGGGATAGACTCATTTCCGCCGTTCAAACTTGCGACTGGAACGTCTTTGCAAGATGATGTGGGCTTCACGTTTGCTATCATCAGAGACGGCAGATCTTATCCCTGGGATTGTGTTGCGGATCTTGTGGAGGAAACTAATCAATGGCTCCCTGACACAATCCATCGTTTCATCAGTCTCAAGACCGAACACTGGATGTTCCAACAAAGTTCAGGCCACCTTGTCAGCAAGACTGATGGAGCCCACCGCTCCGCCTTTGTTGATCTGGATGGCTCCGCAGGCACTATCGAGTTGAAAATGGGGAAAGAAAAGGCGAGTTGGTCGTTAAACGGCGATAGTGCAGAGCAAGGCAGTATCGTGGACGCTTTGTTAAAATGGACGAAGGACTAGAAATCTTCGTGACAATTTGTGCTGGTGACATTGACGAAGCCTGCGACAACAGCTCTCCCGCTGAATTCAGAAGCGACGACCGCTGCTTTGGATTCTGTTGCGACTCTCTCGAAGTCAAGAAAGGGGAAAAAAGAGAAGATGAAGTTGCCAGAGGAAGATGCTGCTACCGAGCTGCTCCGGGGTGGCGATAACGCGGCGGACAGTAAGAAAACGCAGCAGACTTCGTCACAGTCTGCGCAGTCGACCATCATGGATGCCTGGAACGCAATCAACATCGGCGCATTCCGCCGAACCCATGGCAAATCCTGCCATTAGCTGCAAACCGCCACCAAAGTTGGGTTGTCGCAAGTACAAACCTTTTCACTGGCGCGCGCCTGAAGACTATAGTAGTGACGTCTACTACGGCGTCGCTGTTCGACTTCAAAAGTGTACCATCAACTTCTCCAAGTTCCGTACTCCAAGATACGTATCCCCCGTTGGTACAATTCCGACAGCTCACAAGAAAGGCACGCATATCCTTACGTGCATCAATCTATACATCAATCTACCTATTCATCTAGTTGGTGACTTGTCCGTGCAAACAAACAAACCAACAGACAAACGGGAGGAGAGGCGAGGCTAAGGCCAAAGAAGTATCGAGATCAGCGCGACTATATGTTATATGTATCTTCCTTGCCAATCGTTTGGAGGAGGCATTGTGCGTAGCAGGCCAATTTCGAAGCTCTTCCTCTTTATATCAAGCGATCTGAATACGATACATTATTTGCTTCTCCTCCTTGATAGCAGCTACCTCTACTAATGAGTCCCTCGTCTAAGTCATGTAGCATTCTGATTCCTACTTTGTTCACACCGAAGGGCATTCAGTGCATCAATCTCGTCTCTTTCCCTCAATCTCTCCCTGCCGCCGTACAAATGGTTCAACCAGATCTCATATAACTCGTGATCCTCCCTTTGGTTGAGGTGACTTATTTCCAATACGACACTCTGCAGCCTTGCGGCTCCGGCACGCCTTGCTATTCCATTGCCGTCGTCCTACTGCAAGACACTTATGGTCAACTGTCTTCCGCTGATAGTAGGAGATGCTCGAGCGCTCTTCCGATTGTGGATCATCCTCTTCGGGGTGGTTGACCAGGCTGCTGGGGTTATGGTAGAATGGGTTGATTTGGCTGCTGAGGTTATTGCAGAATAGGCTGATTTGGTTGCTGAGGAAGAGAACCACATTGTAAGGTTGGGGGGCACCCGCAACTTGAGGGAGAAAGTTAGGCCAAGCCGACAGCCAGCTCCAAAGTTGGTCAGGACGGAGAGTCATGGTCGTTGGTATCCCGATGCGCGCGAGGAGAGAAGGTCGACAGTGAAGAAGGCCTCAATCTCCGTAGAGGCGGGGGATCTGCTGATTTAGATATGTCGTCCCAGAGCAGCATAGATTACGGCAGTGATGTGAGGGAGATCAGCACTGGAGTGCAAGGTTAGTTCTTGAGGTCGAGCAGTCTCATATCCATTGCACATACCTGCGTAGCTGTCTGTCATGAAGGTGTCGTTCGTGCTGACGGCAGCACAGACAATGAGAGGGAAGTGAGAGACATTGAGATTGTGAAGTCGGGTGTCCTCTCATCTCCGTAAAGTGTAGAAAGCAGCTTGTGAAGCAACCGGAAGAAGGCAAGATGTAGGTAAGGTAGCTAACAAGTAAGGGTGGAGTTGATGTCTGTGGAATGTTTTCTGTCGAGTCGGGCTGTCTGCAATACTTAAGTACCTTAGTCTTTGCCCGATGTTTTCCTTCCCTTCTTTGACCTGCCGCAAGGTGCCACCTTCTTATAGAGAATTCATGCATAGTGCGTGCGTGAGAAGGGGCAAGCTGGCTTTGAGAAGGGGCAATGTGCTATAGAGAAAGGGCATATTGTCTCCGTAAGAAGGTAGCACCTTGTTCCGGATGTCCTCCCCTCTCTGAGCAGCATAGACAATGGCAGGGACGGGAGAGGCGATGGGTAGGCAGTATTAATAGTCTGATCTCACCTTCCATCTCCGTAGACGTGATCGATCCGCTGTTTGGTGTGAGTCTGTTGAGAGCAGCACAGATTATGTAGAACTGTAGAGATTTACGCCTATGTTTCTTGTCCTATAAGCCGGACTGGGAGAGAATATCACATGAACACAAAGAACGATGAGTTGAGGCGTGAGCAGAGAGCGGATGGCAAGGACATGGCGAAGAGTCGATACTATGTACCTGACCCGTACAGACTCTATATCATAACAGGCAAGCACAGTGCAGGGAGAAGGGGGAGAAGGAGAGGGAGAAGGAGAAAGAGGAGGGGGAGAGGGAGAAGGAAAGGGAGAAGAAGAAGGACAGGGAAAAGGAAAGAGACAAGAAGAAGAGGGAACAGGATAGAAGGGGAGAGAAGAAGAAGAAGAAAAAGGAAGAGGCAGGTCTTGGTTTCACCCCCGAGAGGGCTACTCACACCGCGCACCACGTGAAGGTGCCTGCCATAGCGCGGCTCCCCCCGACTCTTTTGCCCCAGGCTCAAGCCATACAACACCAGTGCGAAGAGAAGAAGCGCGGAGGTAAGTCGGAGAGAAGAGAGTGAGGAGGGCGGAGAGAAGAAGCGCTGTAGGAGGTGGTCGGGTCGGAAGAGAGTACAAAAAGAGAAAATTCCACCTCTTTTTCAGCGTGGGATCTCCATGCCGTTCCTGCTCTCCCTCCCCACCGCGGGTACGCGGTGGTTAGAGACCCGCCCCTTCGCCTCCTGTACAAAGTGCTCTTTGAGCACCTCGAAATTGTCGTCGACTATCTGATTCCACCTTTTATTCCATCGCTCGGACTTTCGTCTGGCTCTGGAACGCTCGATCCGCTAGATCAGCGCGGTCCACAGGCCACACGACATCTTTCGCTTGCTTTTGATTCTCCCCGAGAAGAGAAAACAAAAGCCACTTGGTGAGAAGTTGTTATCGCGTTCCAATCTCAATGTGTCAATGTAAACTGGAGAAAGAAGAAGAGGGTTGTGCAGAGAGAAGAGATTTTCTTTATACCCTTCGAGCGGGTCTGCGGGTGACTCAGAGACGCTGCGCCAGATGTTCTATCCGGGGAGGCCGAGCTGGAGGGCTCGGTTGACCACGGATGGTAGAGACAGTTTTGGGTTCTACAACGCTGCAATCGACTTGTGTGGATGTGCTGAAAGCTTTACCCGTACTGTTCTGTAGGGAGAGCCAAGTGTGTAGTGAGCAGTTCCGTGGTACGTGTGGGTATCAGGGAATGTATCTTTACCTTACCTGACCAAGTTTAAACAGATATAACGCCGAATCTCTGTTTCTCTGCTCCATCCACCACGGACCTTTCATGGCCCTCTGACGCCCTGGTGCCTCGCCTCTAGACGAGACTCACGTCGAGCGAGTATGGATTCTCTATTCTCCAAGCTGGTGTAGTACACAACCTGACCTTTTCGCCTCAACACACCAGGTCTTGCAAGTCCCGCTTGCTCCGGCCGGTCTCTCCGTCTGTCTACCTTCTTCTAATAGAATCCACATCTGAGCTTCCCGGATTGGAGTCGTGTAGGGTAGCGGTACGCTTGGTAGTGATATTAATAAATGTATAAAGCAGAGTAGAAGGTACCATGTTCTTGATATAGAGATGGTTCCTTAGGTAGGTGAGAAACCTAATCTATAAGGTAGTAGGAAGTCGGAACTCCAATATTCTCGAATTGGAGAGAGGGGAGAGTGGAGATCTGAGGTATATGTAGGTATTTTTAAATAAATCAATATGTGTACCAGTCTTGCGAGAAGGAAAAAAGGATTTTTAGCGGGCGTTTCTTTAGGGATATATATAGCAAGTAGCGAGTGTCCCGGAGCCAAGACCGCGGAGCCTTAGGCCAATTATTACCTAAGGTATCTGCCCTTCCGCTTCGCCGATGTACTGAACGGTACGTATATATATATATAAAAGAAATAGGAGGCTGAACGATCGTATAAGGAACAGTAGAAGACAGGGAATCAGAACTTTAGCTACCCTGTATACCTGTAGATAACAAGTTTGTTATAGCCCAAGGCCCGAAACAATCCTCTAGACTTCCACACAATTTCGGGTCCGAATTTTCATGTTTTTCCACACACAGGTAGTTGACATAACAGAGTTGGCAAAGCCACTCCAGCCTAGTCACAGTCCAGTCTAGGACAAGCAGTTGAACCTGTGTTTGCTTGTAGTTATTCGTTTGCCGATGACGATACAAGAACCAGTAGAACTGACTGACTGCCCCAAAGCCAGAAAGAAGCACGGAGCCACTGTTTCCAGCAGGATGCATTCACTTGTCTGACATTGTGTGATATTCTCATTGCCTCAGAGAGCTTTGCTTGCTTGTTTGGTTGGGACCGAGGACTTCTGTGATGATGATAAACAGTATTTATGGCGGCGACAGACTGGGACGGAGCCTCCATGACTGACTGAATGTACGGAACAGAGCAGCGGTCGGCTGGTTGGTACTATCTGTCGCGACGAGGCGTTTGTCACTCGGGGACTTCGACTGGACTGGCATATGTATCGGAGTGGGCCGATACCGAAAGTAATCTGTACCACTGGACCTGGGGTGTGCTCATCATATCAAGGAGGTAGCGCTCGCTCCACGGCCTGCTAGCGGAAACTTCAAGGCCTGGGCAAAGAGCTGTTGACCACCACGTCTTGAACTTGGGCTCAGGGCGAAGACGAAAGATTTCTTGTCTCTGGTTACCGAGACACAGCTGTCGACTGGCTCTTCACGCCGGTAGAATCCCCGCTTGAGACTCTACGGTGTCAAGGTGTGGTCGCCTGGGCGTGCCGGACACAGAGCATTGTCTGGGACCGCACACCGGCGGCGGATCCGCACTGGCTCTTTTCCATCCGCCTTCATCTTTATCTTCTTGCTTCTGTGGCCAGAGGATATCCTTCTTAATGACAGCTCTGATCATGAGGACGAAGACGATAAGCCATAATATCATGACCAAAATGGTCATCGCACAGCCCACAATTCGAATGGCGCGATTGTTCAACGCTTTGCCCACTGCAAACGTGGCGGTCGTCAAGGCCGTTTGTGGAAAGACGTAGGAGTAGAAGCTCATGGCGAATGTCATTTGGCCATTGACACAGTTCCAGTGTGCTCCGACGGATACGATGAAGAACCAGAATGCCAGTCCCCACAGCCACAGGCCAAACCAGATCGAAGCGATCTTGCTGACCTGCCCTGCCAGTTGTCCGTTGCCAGGGAGAAGAAAGTCTTTGTCGACCACGTCCGGTAGAATGTATCCCATATTCACGATGCCGCTGATGGTGAAACCGCTCGGACCCACGCTGACGAACATTCCCGGTCGCAGGTTCTCTGTGGGCAGTTTTTGTGTCATGAGGCGATAAATGAAAGCGGCATATATCATGAGACTGAGCAGGAAGCCAATACCCTGGAAGACATAGCCGCCAATGATGACAGCAAGAGCTGCTCCCGGTCGAGCCATGGTCGAGAGGTGGTCGGCGAGGGTGGCAGCATGCGGCCCAATGACGAGAAGAGGATAGCATGGGAAAATCCAGACGGGAGTCATTTGCGCGACGGTGAATGTTTGTGTGGACCACCTAGTATCATTGTCAGCTTAGTGTGAGACAAAAGGCGGTGGGAGGTGGGATGTGGTACATGATGAGATAGATACCACTGCTGAAGCACACCGCCAGTCCGCAGTATACCCAGAACAGTACCTCCATGGTGGACAAGAGCCATTCCTGCGACACTGCTGCTTGCGATAATCCATATTGCGAGACATTCAGCAAGATGGTGCCGATGCTGATGATGCTTGCGGGAACGAACAGGCTCTCGGTAGGATGCAAAAACGACTGCTTGAAGGTTGCTGGGTAGAAATAGAAGCGCAACGACATCATCACCACGTTGAACAGGAAGAGCACCATGTTGAAGATGAAGAAGATGCAGCCGATTGCGTAGAGTCCCCTGAACCGGTAGGGAACTTGATACAGGACGTTGGCAATGCCTCCCGTGGCCATCTATGACGCGTGTCTTTCAGTACCATGTACCATACATACAGGTAGCCATCAAACGTGAATGTGGTTTAATAGTCAGGTACTCATACTTACAGTCATGGTGAACCACGTGAAGGTGAAGTGCTTGATCCTCTGCTTGAAATGAAAATGCTGAAAATGTTCCGAAACCTCAGTTCTGATCCGACGGAGGCTCGTCTGACTCTGCCGCTGACTGGGACCTGATCGTCGCGGAGTAGCCGATGGTCGTCGTGGTGGTGGTGATGGTAGTACTGGAGATTCCGCCTTCTCGGGGTCTTGATGATGGCCTCTCTGGGTCCGGTTGGGTGCGGCGGATCGTGCTTCGTGATAGTCCAATCTGTCTGCCTCGGACGAGCTGTCCTGCAGTTTGGGCCACTCTTGATCACTGCCAGATGACTCCATCATGACAGCTCGTCGTCGTCGTCACGGGTCGTGCGACAGGAGTGGGAAGATGTGTCAAAATTTGGCAGTGCATCCAACAGCACAAGCTCTGTTACGTGGGCAGGACGTGGAGTCGATGCCGTCTGCTGATCTTGATGAGAGTAGTACATGTAGTATCGTGAGGTCGGTCTCTCGGCATCTTCACAGCGGACAAGCGAGAAGACAGGATAAAGAGGTCAGGCGCTGAGTTGTACGGGCAAAATGATCGTCGTTGTTGGACAGGGAAAACATCGTTGCCAGCCTTGGACACACACGCATACCTTACCACCTAAGGTACCTCTGGGCGGCGTTGAACCAACAACAACTTCAATCGCACAATTAGCCGAGATCCTTCGGCGGCAGCAACAACAACACGTCAGCCGTCACAACGGAGCAATAACTTATTCTACGAAACACTTGATATGCGGCTTACCGGTAACATTATCAAGGTCCCATTTTTGACTTCATACGCACCGATACTCGACTTGTGATTCGCGATCGCGGGCCCTCCCCCTCCTCGATAGTGCGTGCAGATGCCGCCATCCGAGGAAGAACACATCAGTTGAGGTACTTAGGTAAGGAATCGATTCGATGAGCCTCGTCGACGATTTTTTCTTTTCTCTCGGCGCCACGGCAGAAAGTTGGTAACAAGAGACATGCTCTCCCTCCCCTACGGAAGCGGGCTGAGCTCAACTTCTGCACAGTTGTCGACAAAGTTGTAGTTTTGGAGAAGATAAGATGGTGATAAGGCCACATATCTGGGATCTGAGACATTTGCCTGAGATATGCTCTCCGGAAACATTTATGACTTTTTATTTTCTTCGCTTCTTCAGCGTGCACGATGCCTCTCAACCGCTATTCTGGCTGTTTGAGATGGCTGTTCTGGCTGTTTGGGAAGTGTAGAGAAGACGTCCCAGGCTGTCAGGCATCAGAAACCATCGGTATACGAGCGCAAGCATTATGCTGGCAAGGTATCTGCATAGCAGCATACCTCCAGGCTCTAGCCATCATGACATGCTGGTACGATCCTCGTCCACATCGTGGCAATCTTGCGCAAGAGCTACATGTATACCTACATACAGGAAACACGAGACCATGCGACCGTAAGGTCAGGTATGGTAGGGTAATAAGAAATGTAGCCAAGGTAGTATGACCCAACCCCAACATGAACCTTCGCCTTGAAGAAAACTACCTGGTATCTACACGGGCATGTATGTATGGACGAATGCTCATGCACACTTGTTTCCAGGATCTTTCTCTCAACCCGCCGGGCCTTTGCGCCCATTTTCTTCCCTTATGTACTCCCAAGTCCGCCCAAAGCCAAGCCAACTTCATGTGCCGTCTTTCCCATCCCTCAACTAGGTATCATACCTTACCTTACCTGAATGGACCTTGACTACCTACTCCAAGCTACCATAAACCCTCTCCTTCCGATCCTGTCTCGCGCGCACCCACGGAATCTGTCTCAACAACTTCGCCAGCGATCCCGGAGCCGAAGGTCTCTGATGATGAGACGTTTCCATCTTACGGACCTTTTTTTGGAATTTCTCGGCTCAGCTTGACTTTATTATAAGAGAAAAAAAAAAAGACTAACATCTCACGATGGCTGTACAGGTACTCACAGTAAGGTGGGTAGGATTATGATGATGGTGATGGTGATGGTGATGGTGATGATGGTGATGATGGTGATGATGATGACGATAGTGATAATGAGACACCTACTTTAGTTCTGCGCCAGAGCATGCCTTTCACTCCTCCTCCTCCTTCCCCATTAGCGACAGAATGGCTGCTACGTCCTTGCTGCTGCTTCTCGCGGGTCCCGGATGTGTGGCTCAGGTAGCGAGAGGGACTGTCGCCGCGACGGCTATCATGACTTTCACGGTAGGAAGATGAATCCCGTGCTGGTGTCGTTGATGTGCCCGCAGTCGTCACAGAGGCTTCAGAGAGTCTACCCGTGGAATGATACAAGGGACTGAGATATCTGGTGTCGCTGCTCTGGCGGCGATCTGCTGCCATTGATGCTGGTCTGTCCTGCTGTTGGGAATGATGATGATGATGATGATGCTGATGAGTTGGCAGCAAATAATCGCAAAGAATCCAGCCAAGAGTTCGGCCGGCCACCTGTTTGCGCTTCTATCTACCTTACATATACCTGACTTGTTTTATTAATGTATTATGTCTCTGCAGAAAAAACAAGGTTTCTGTCAGTTGGTCCCACCCATTTCCACAGCGTTTCGGAGTGCCCCCTGGGTCATCCTTGCAAGTGTAGTATACCAGGTATTGTACGGGGTGTCACCACTCGCCACATCGGACTGTCTCTCCGGTCTGGAGAACGTCGCTTGCCGAATGCCGAATGCCGAGCATACAAGTTGGCCGATGTAAAGGTGCCATGGAGTGTTTTTAGCTTTGAATGGGCATTTCGCGGTGGCCAACATCCACCAGTAAGGAAAGGAGGTACACCCTGTACTTCCTACCATGCTGACATGTCCATCCAGCTTCAGCGGCCCAGCCGATCAGCCACCGTTGGTCTGTACCACGCTGTCCGCGCGAGGCGCCACCCTGTTCCTCTGCACATCACGCAGTGTGTTCCATACATCCAGCTTCCTCACCCACATCTGATCTTCGGCCACCATCGCCGCGCCCGAGGGCGACAACAGCCGCACCTCGAATTCCTCGTCCGTGCTCCAGCCAATGCGGGCACTGTGTCCGCCCGTCAAGAATCGACTGAATGGCGCAGTGAAGACGAGCACATCGTGCTTGTCCTTTTTACTGAAACCTGCTCGCCAACCGGAGAACAGCCATATCGGCATGTCCATCACGTGCGATACGCCCGCATCGGGGCTGATCCAGTCATCCACACCTTGCGGACGCCATGCAATGTGATATCTTAGCACATCGTGCGTAGTCATGCCTCCGTACATTAAGCACTGCGCAAATCCTCGGGTCGCCGCGTGACATTGGACGTCTGCCATGATGTCACAATATACGGAGTTCCAATCTGTAATGTCTCGGGCATATCTCTGGACCAATTCATTGCAGATGTCAGTGGGGTAATGGGCCTTGAGCTTCGACATGAGGGCGTCGCGAGAGAAGATCGCGCGCGAGGGCCTACTGGGCTGAATTCCGACTCTTCCAGTATGCTCGTAGAATAAGCGTTCATCGCGACTGTCGCCAATCACCACTTGTACATTTCTCTGCTTCAGCCGACGACCAAGCTCCCCATTCCAAATGGAAGCCATCAGCCACATGGGTACGAAGCCACCTTCGCCATCTGTGACGGGCTTGAAGTCGATCTCGAGTGTGCGGACTGCGCTGAGAAGCTTCTCAACTGGCACATTGCGCAGAAGCTGGATCTTCTCTTCACCGCTCAGATCGAGCTCAATCAAGAGCTGGCTACAGATTTCGTCAAATTGCCTGCTTGGCTTGAAGGAGTGCGCTGGCTCAGGTTGTATGCTAACAGCTCCACTGAAGAGAAAGGCTCTTCGAATGATGCGGTTATCCGGAGGCTGAAAAGCGTCATAGTGCAATTGCAGTGCAGTGATGAGCCCAGAGCCACCAGCACTGATGTTGTTTGGGTTGCCTCCAAAAAGATGTATATGGTCGTACGTCCACTGCAAGGCCATTCGTAGGTCCCACAAGCCAAAGTTTCCGGCAGAATCACTGCTTCGTGTCGCCGGATCCATACCATCTACCATGAGCTCTTCACTTGCGAGGAATCCCAGGATACCGACACGATAGTTGGCAGATACGATAATGCGCGGTTCTTCGTGATGTTCTCGGAAGAGGTCGATGGGATCCAAGTAGTTCTGTTGCATGCCATGGCCGCATTGCAGCCCTCCAGGAGCTAGAGAAAGTTAGCACAGCATGTCCTCGTAGCAGATCCAGCAGCACCACCACCACCTACGGAAGATGAATTGAACAGGCCAGCCTTTCGAGATTGTCTCCACTCCCGCTGGTACCCATATGTTCAAGTACAAGCAATCTTCATCCATGACCACATCCTCGACTTCCTCCCACTGTGTGATATCCACTGCTCCCGATTCACCACCTAGCTGCGGACATATGGGCCCGAAGCGGCGATAATCCCTCAAATCGTCGTCCCCATTGGAAAAGATCCAGTCCGCAGGGAGCGGTTCTGGCCTTCGCCATCTTCGACTCCCAGTCGGCGGAAGCGCGTATCGTACCCGTGCATAGAGGTGGTATATGGGCTGATAGCTCTTCGTGTCGCTGATTTCGACCCCAACCAGTGATCCTCTGGCGGTCCTGAGAATGTGATTCTTTCGCGTGGAGTTGGTCGCGCCAATCTTCTTCTTGTTCTTCTTCTTCAATGATCCCACGTGGGTGAATGATTTGACTGCGCGAAGCATTGCTGCTGCCTAGAGCATGTATGCATGCACTCGGCTGTGACGATTCAGCGACAGCCTCATGCTTTGTTTACTGCTGTCTGCAATATGAGAGGGACAGATGATGTTTCTGCTGTTGCCAAAGCCGTTTGTCTGCGATGCGTGTTCGGGGAGCGGCTGGAAGAGATGCGAAAGTTGGTGCCCGCATGAGGGTTCTGGACACGGCCATGACGATGTTGGTTTGTACCTGGTCGTACCGGGGTGTCTAGTGTTCAAGACTCTTGCAAATTGAATTTGAAATGTACCTGGTATCCTTGATCCCTTGGTCTGCCTGGGATTTTCGAAGCGATCACTTCGGCCTCCCCGCAAAACGGATATGTAGCGGATTGCAGCCTAGCTCAGGCTGCACTATGATGGTGTCTGCTGTCGCGTCCCGTTGCTTCTCTTATTGCTCAAGAGGAGTTGAGATCCGGAACATGAAGTTGCTGTGGCCACTTCTGTCACCTACAGGTCCGCGCAATGTGGAGCTGATAATTTCACCACAGAGCAACCACACTGCTTCCCAGGCTTCCCAGCGACAAGGGTGCGATGACCATAGATCTACATATTCGCCCATCGAGCACCGCAAGAGCGAGACCGGCTTGGCAACTTGCCAGAGACGTGGCTCATTATGTGCTCCCTAGAGACAGATCAGCCGTTCTCAGTGGCTGGAGCAATGGATATATCGTATTTTGAGGACTTGTAATTCCCGTCACTCATACCATAAATTCTTTAGCATGTTCAAGGCAGGAGGAGATGGTTTGGGGAGTGTCCAATATGAAGAGCTTCATCGCTGCTTTAAGATTGGGCCAATTCAGGTAGATGTCGTGAGGCTCAGATGATGCTGCACATGATCGTCGTAACCGCTCGTTAGTAGAACTACACGTGCCTACCTAGCCAGAGGAGTCGGCTCGAAATCATGATAGGTCTGGTGCGATGCTGGTTGACTGAGACACGAGGATACGAAGCTCTTCCTGCCTTGTCCTTGACCTCCGGGTGTCCGACGTGAGAATTTGGTCATGCTCTCCTTCAGCGCCACGCAACGAACATGCAGCCCGCAAAACACACCCGATATCCGCACACACACGAAAGTCTGGAGATGGAGCGAGGATTGATCGGCGAGGACACAGAACGGTCGCGGCGCCCGAGCGTCTCTGGGCCCCTGCGCCTGGGGAAAAGTCCCATACCACCTTCTAGACCAGGGATGATCATGGATGCCTTGCGGCGCCGCGGCGGACCAGGCATCAGCGCCAACTTCGATTGGCTCTTGCTGACCTCACTTGGAGCGGTCAGGATTCACGCGCAAGCTGTGAAAGTCCTTTTGATGATCGTGGAACAGCGTCTCGTCTCTTGCGGACGCATGAGCACTTCGGAGCGTTTGTCCCAGTCTGGAAGAGTCCCGTGTGTGTCCGGGACTCACCTCGGGGGATTGCCAGCCTCCATAGCTGGAGAGAAAGAGCAGACGGAACAGTCGGGCAGGTGTCTCAGCAGTCGTGATAAGAGGAGGAGCTGGACGCGGCCGAGAGACCAATAACGATGCCTTGTCTTGGCGACAAGCCGTTCTCCAGGGAGGAGAGTCGGCAGCAGATCATTCTTTGCCATGCGCGGCCGACATGGCGTCTGGTCTCGGGCACGACGTCGCTCTGTCGAAGTCCAGCGCGGAGAGTTGGAAGAGACGCATTTGGTCAATACGGATCGATATGCTGAAAAGCGCTGGGCAGCATCGTGCCGGATATGCAGCTTCAATATGCCGCAGACCAGCGTTGAGACACGGCTTGATAAGGGAATTGCTGATTGTCGTGATTCCTCCTTCATTATTGCGCGCCAATGCTGAGTCTGACCCGCGCGCAAGGTCAGCTCTGAATTCAAGAATTCAGGAAATCGTCAGCTGGGTACTGCTTGGAGAGAGATGGGCAGCATTCAAGCGCATACTGAATACACTGACTGAGCCATGCAGGATGTCATCGCGATATACGCCTTCTAGGGAGGGGAGCACTTCACGATCGCGAATCTACCCAACAGTGGACATGTCAAAGAACCCATACGGTTGAGTTCAAGCAAAGACTGCGAGCCATGTCATATACGGTATACCTTCTACTACCTACCATACCTAAGTACCTTAGTATTATCATTCTCAAGATACTTCATGTACTTCTTATGCCGAGCTTACTTCGCCTGGTTCTCCACCAAAACCAATGTCAGCGCCATCTCTCCGCCTCTGCGCAGCTGCAGCTGGGGGTGGAGATGCACGAAGCCTCACATGAAAGTGAAGCTCGCATTGCCACGTCGGAGTAGGCCTGCAATATGGGTTAGCCGCGGTCACACAACTTTCAGCAAAATGGTCTGGCATTCGTGCCTTGAGCTTAAGGTGGCATGCCTCGCCGTTGCTGAAGACTTAAAACTGGCCACGTCAAGGCTTTCGCTCTCTTCGCACACATGATCAAAAGCTAAGGGAAACAATGTTGCTTGAACCGCACGGCGAAGTGCGAAAAACATGAGCTGCTCATATCTCAACAGTCCTTACGGTTCATTCTGCCCAGTGGCCACTTCTCATTTGACGCCCTCATCGACTCCGCCCCTCGCGAGGAACAGCAAAGCCGCAAGCTTCCCACCATGAAACACCATATGATGATTGCGCTGCCTTGTGAGCTCGCAGCAGCCCCCGAACAACTGGCACATCCTGCTACTCCTCATTTGTGAACTTTGGAGCGTTCTGCTTCGCCGACTCTTCGTCTACGATGGCCGATCAATGTGTGCTCAGCAGCAGCGCGAGAGAGTAAACCGTCCCACGTCAGCCTCCGATGACGTCCACTAATGAATCCTTCACAGTGCAGCAAGATCAACTGGTGCAGATGCGAACACATCCCATAGTCACAACTGTCACACTCAAGCACCTTATCTCAGCACTCGGTCCGCAGGGGGCGATGGAGAAAGATATAGTGGAGGCCTCCGGGCGAACCACTGCGAGCGAGATGCGTCGACGCCATCATATCGTTGGGCGGACATGATTTTCGAGTGGCAGGACTACGTACAGATGTGCGTGAAAGTCTCTGCTGAAGTTGCTGCTGTCGTTCTGCAGTGTATGGAGAAATACTTGAAGAAGAACCCAATAAGCCGCACCGATATTGGTATTGGAGTTTCTGCCGGTAGCACCTGTTACAGCCGAATCAGCAGTCTTTGTATTGCACTGACCTCAAGCATGTCATCATCGGAGAGTGATGGGACAACTGGCAAAGCTGAGTGTCTCGACAATGTCAATGATGGAGTCGCACGTCCCGTCACCCCAGGTTCAGCACGACGACTCTACGCTAGCAATCTCGCAAACATGGCGCACAATCTGGACGATACTGCGACTCTGGATCGCTCACGTCTGCACGAAAGGAGCGCTATTGCCGATCGTACGGGCGAAGGGGTACGCTGCCGACCACTGCCTCCGGAACGACTATTACCCTTAGAAACTGGAGAGTACAATACCCAAACACCTCCACAATCCTATCTTCCTGGTAGCCAAAGTTCGCAAAGCTATGCATCACTCAGCTATCAAGGCAGTAACACCATGGATGGCGCCAACACGCGATCTGGTAGCTTGCAAGGTGTGGGATCTGGGATCCATTGGAGCAAGCTTACTGCCAAGTCGAGTGCTGAGGACGGTGGCGGTGACGACGAAGATGATGGTGACGATGAGCCTGTTCCATCTGATGGAGACCACCATGGGGTAGGCTTCTGCTGCATCTTCTGTACCAGAAATGGTCTACCGCAGCCTACTGATGCGTGTGCATACAATCGTCCTTTCACATCGAAGCTCAGGTGCGTAAACTCTGCCTAAACTTGAACTCTGGGACTGACGAGCGCTCAGGATTCATCATTTTAACTCACATCACCCAGGCGGCCCTTTTGGTTGCTGTCCCAAATGCTACAGTATCGGTGAGATCAACAACGCGAAGGTTTTTGAGCGCTTCATCAGCTTGCCACAAGTGAATAAGCATAAGAGGACGTGTACTTCCGAGATCTGTATCGACGAGCACTGTCACAATTACGACAAGCTCCCTCTTCTTCAACCTTGTCAGCATCCCCGTCGCCAGACCCAGCTGCAAATATGGCGAATGTGGTATCGTCGTGCACATCGACTTGATCGAGATGACCCAGTTCCGGAGCCATTTTTAATTGGCAGCACTCCGGCCTTGTCGAGACTTCAGGTGCCTCCCACCTCTAGGCGCGGCAGATCTACATCCTTACCTGCACCTTTGAACGCTGCAAAATTGCCTGATTCCAACGACACAGCCTTCTGGAATAAGACCGATCCGTCTTTACTCATGTCCCCGTCGGGTGAGGTGCCTACACTTGTAAGCACCCAAGGGCCAAGTCAGGCCAGCATATCTTCTTCGTCAGAAGCACTTCTGGAGATGACGCATGATCTTCTGTCCCGTGTTCAAGAGGAGCCAAGAAAAGTCACGAATGTTATGAGGAACATGCATGCGGATGCAATGCGGGCTTCTGGGAGGCTGCTCCAAAGGCTTTCGGCTGACGACACCGAAACATCGGGACACATCGAAAGGCTTCAAACGCTCCTCAACGAATGTTGGAGGTTGATAGTCAGCCCTAATAATCGTAATTTGAACGCATGGCGAGACCTGCGAAGTGCAGCAGGACTAGTCGGCATCCGACTCTACTCCGATGTGCCTCAAAGCTGGCAGCATCTCTCACACCACGACCAGCAGCTGATGCCGTTCATATCACACCTGGGTACCTCGGATATAATTTCACAGGAGTCGCAGGAAATACCCCAGATGATGCAGCCTCACAGTGAGAACCCCGAACCCGACCTTTCCTGGCCCCCGATCATCTACCCCAACCATCCCAGTCCAGCACTAGGCGACATCATGCGCTCCTTTATCCAGGAATCCAGCACACGCGGCACCTACAACCCTTTCAACCTCAACAACGCTCCTCTCCAACAAGCAGCAACCCACACACCAGATCCCCTGCATGACTTGGTCGAGTATAACCACCACCACCAGCACCACTATCTATCGACGGGACAGCGTCTGCAGCCATTATTACCGCGCACCGCCCCGGATGAAGATTCCCTCAGTGCGTTCTCCGCGCCTATAGATTCGGGACTGTATTCGGGTGGCACATCGATGGATTTTGAAATGGGCGAGAGAGATGGAAAGGGGGAGGAGAGGAGAGGAAGTGATGATTTTGATGGATCTTTTTCATTTTGGTCTCAGGGCGATGTGTTGTGATGATGATGATGGGGAGTGGGGAGGTAGCTTTCAAATGTGGGCTTTTCTTTTTGGTATGAGCGTCTTTGTTTTTCTTTGAGCTGAGTTGAAATGAGTTGAGAAGATCTACGTTGTGAATCATGCATACCTGTAGTAGTAGAGCCATTTGTATTCCATGTTTGTCTTATCTTTTTCTGTTTCTTCTGTACTGTTCGCTGGCGTTGGCTGAAGAAATATCCCTACCTAGATATGCGTACGTTCTTAGTGCGTCCAATTGTAGGTGCTGCATTGTAATAATTGGGCATGTCTGAGATATGTGAGCAGATAGGTGTGTAAGGTCCTGCTTCGGTTGTATCACTCTCTCAGTCTGATCAGCTTTTTGGATCAACCACTCCAGTCACTTTCTTGGTTCTTTATATTTCGGAGCTGCAAAGCTATAACTCCTTATGTCAGCAGAATGCTCACGAATATACCTAGCCGTACTCGCTGTCTGCGATAGTAGGAAATTGGCTGAAAGCTGTAGATATATGTGTCATTCCATTTCCTTTCCTGCTCTGCTCTGCACCGCCCCAAGTGATAGCTCCTGGCTGTCGCTGAAGCGAATCTGTAACATACAGAGCGGGAATAAAGAAGCCAGTCCCCGGGTTTTTTCAACAAGTCTGACTGATCCCACCTCACTTGGCCCCAACCTTCTCCTTCGCCAGCTCATACTTCTCCTTGACCGTCTCGGTCAAGCTCTTCCCCTGCCTCTCCTGCTCCAACTCCCACTCTGCATTCCGGTAGTACTTGGCCGTGTCCACACCATGCTGGTTATGATTGACAAAGTTGAACCACGGCATGACATGCAAAAACACGCCCGAATATCTCGATTGTCGGGCAGCAGCTCCTTGCATATATTCGGTCAAAGTCGTCTGTCCGTACAACGGTTCCCCTCTCTTGACCTTTTCCGTCATTTCTCTCATGTCCATTTCGATTTCCCTCCGGTTTTCCGAGAAACCGTAGAAGCGGTTGAGTGAGGAGGAGTAGAGATAGAAGAAGCCTGCAACGAATCCGATGGCGCCTTGGAGACGCATAATTTGCGCGAAACCGCCCCGGCCTACTTCGGAGGGGGAAATGCGCTCGAACCAGTACATGAGGGCGGGGCCTGCGGCGGTGACTCCTGCGGCGCCGGCGTAGTCCGTGGGGCGGGCATAGCCGATAACGCGCTTGAAATGAGGGTCACTGTCGATGAGCTGTTTGCGGGAGTCAGTGTCGGTGTGGTTGTAGAGTGAGTGTCAGTTGGCGCATACTGGGTAGTCGCCATTGAGACGCTTTGCTGGGACTTGAGGACGACCTGTCTCTCCCAGCTCGGGACCCTCCTTGATGGAGATGACTTCGCCCTGTCGCTCGCCCATGGTTGCAGTTCTTGACACCAGTAGAGTGAGGAAGCAAGAGAGCGAGAGCGAGAAAGATTGAGAGGTTGTGGTGTCTCGTCAATACAGCTCTCGTGTCTGAGGTGGTGGTCTGTGGTCGAAAGCGAGCTAGTTCGAGGACTAGGGCGTACCAGAGCACGAGTCAGGACATTATAACCACAAACTTTGGCTTCACTTGCGAACGACCTCCGCCTCCACCTGCACGGTCAATCGCCTTGTGCAGTCGTCGCAGCAAAAGAGCTGAGTGGAAGAGAAGGTCATTGTTGGAGATGGCGCGACCAGGCATCAGCGATCTCACAGGCGACCATCGCATTGCCCAAATTGCACGCGACACATGGCTGTCCTCACCCAGCAGCGCGCCCAAAGTGCTGCCGGCGACCATCACTGAGCTCTGGCAGCTCGTGGAAGAAGACGACTCCCCCTTCTCTCTGCTCCTCCTCGAACAGCTGCAGGCGTTGGAGCGCTATCTCTGGCCCGGCTACACTGACAATGCATCCAACCACCACGTTCTCCTCATCGTCCTCCTCGTCAACACGAAACGATCGGAGAACCTACCCACCTGGCCGCTCTTCACAACCACGCCCGACGAGTTTGCTGACTTCTTTCGACGCGTGCTCCACTTGAGCATTGACTCCAGTCTGGCCACCAATGTGCGCGAGTATCTCCTGGCCTTTATCGTGGGCGCATATCAGAGTCTGGACCATGGAGTCGTCAGGAAAGAATGCGCGCCGCTGGTGTCAATTGGGATATGGCACAACTTGCACAGTGATGCCGCAAGACAGAGACGACTGGCGAAAAGCGCACAACTACAAAAGGCGTGGAGAGCATCGGGGAAGAAGTTCGACAATGCAGACCCTGCAGGGCAGGCGAGAATGCGTTTTGAGAGGAGCTGGCTGTATCTGCTTGTACTGAGCTTCTGCGACAAGCTGTATACTAGCACCAAGAAGGAAGATGATGTGGCGTACTGCGAACGATTCCTGGAATTGCTGTGCGATTTGCAAAGTCAACTACCCACAAGACGATATGTGAATGCTCTGCTTCAAGATCTGAACATTTTGCCTGCCATTGCCCTTTCGCCTTTGCACCAGCAAGAATCGCGGATCCGCGAATTTTACGAGCTTCTCGTGCACTACACGCACTTTCCCATCGACGACCAGACTGGGCGACAGCTGAGCAGGCAGGAGTACCAGGAATCTCAAAATGCCAGCATATCGAGGTTACAGAAAGTGGGAATGAGGTTGCAGCCAGAGAAGCTGAAGATCATGATTTTGACCAACTTCGGTGCGTTAGGACAACGGGAGGAGCTGGAAAGCCATCTCAAAGATCTGAGCGACGATGAGCTGCTCGAGCTGTGCCAAAGTGTCGGTCTGAGAACACGAGAGTACCCAGAAACGACGCAATTAGTGCAAGATCGAGCATTCTTGGTCGAGACGCTCGTCGCGATGGTCGAGTCAAAGCCATACTACACGGAGCGAATGCGTAAACTGCAGATCCTACCGACGGAGCATGCACTGTACAGCAATGCGCGACTGCCCTCAGACGAGCATGTCGTCAATCAGCCGTTGGCCATTCCGAAGCTCAACTTACAGTACTTGACGATAGGCGACTTTCTGTGGCGATCCTTTACTCTATACAGGTACGAAGCTTTCTACAGCTTGCGAAAGCATCTTGAGGATACGATCAAACGACTGCAGCCACGACGAGGAGGCGGGATTGTCCGCTTCGATGGCTTCTCTCGAATGGCCATTCCCATCCCAAAACCGGCACTGATTGAAACTGCTGCACCGCGTGTTGGCGAGATCGTGCCCGCTCAAGTCAAGGCAGAGATTATCCTTGATGTGAGCAGGCTTCAGCCCGGCTTGCGGAGGGAGTGGGAGAGCTTGAGATCAGACGACACTGTTTATCTGCTCGCATTGCAACCGGAAGACAACGCTCACAAGCTCACCAATGGTGCTGCTGCGAAGCAGTCTGTAGCCGAGAGACTTGGCCTGAAAGCGGTCAGATGCGCAGAGGTCATCAGCGTCCTTGATGAGAATAGTAGAGCGCTTCGATTTAACCAGCATGATCAGGACTATACAGACAATGGGCCAAGACCGAGACAGCGAAGACTGTTGCTCCGATTGGACGCAGCCTCGTACAAGGCCGACAAGGATCGCGAGGCGTCTGGTAAGCCCGACATATACGAGAGCATCAATCTGGTGGTCCGCAGGAAATCGAGAGAGAACAATTTTCGACCGGTGCTGGAAAGCATTAAGCAGCTGGCCACGTCGGACGCCCCCGTGCCATCTTGGTTCGAGGAGGTCTTCCTTGGTATTGGCGATCCCGCTTCTGCCACTTACAAGCGTCTTGCAAATAAGCTCCAAAGCGTTGATTACCGAGACACGTTTGTGGACTGGCAGCACCTGATTGAGTCCTTACCTGGCAAGACGGTTGAGCCTGATCCCGATCTGGACTCAATCCCACCACCACCGTATGTACTAGAAAATACTGGGTCGGCACCTGCACCTCCACCAGCAAAGGGCAAGAAGAGGAGACGAGATCAACCAGATGGACCAGATCCCAAGCCTACGGCAGAGACTTACAGAGTGTCGACATATCAACCCCCAAATTCGGGACCGTATCCGGAAGATGCACCCAAACTTAATCACGTTCGCTTCACGCCCACTCAAGTAGAGGCTGTAACGGCTGGCACACAGCCTGGCTTGACTGTCATTGTTGGTCCTCCAGGTACAGGCAAGACTGATGTGGCAACACAAATTATTAGCAACGTCTACCACAATTTCCCGCAGCAACGCACTCTACTCATCGCACACTCCAACCAAGCACTGAACCAGCTGTTCCAAAAGATAGTGGCGTTAGACATCGATGAGCGCCATCTTCTGCGACTGGGCCACGGCGAAGAAGAGCTGATGACGGAAGCTAGCTTTTCCAAAGCAGGCCGTATCGAGTCGTTCCTTGAGCGAGGCGCGCGATATCTTGCTGATGTGCAGCGTCTTGCTGCCAGTATCGAAGCACCTGGAGCGCACGGCAGCAGCTGTGAAACTGCAGAATACTTCGACCAGGTCTGGGTGCAGCCTCGATGGAAACGCTACTGGGACAGCTTTGAGTCTGCCGATGTGACCACCGAACAGCTCGTTGCGACTTTCCCCTTTCACAAATTCTTCGCTGACGCTCCCCAACCATTATTCTCGCCGAACACGACCAAACAGCAGCTGCTCGACACTGCCAAAGGCTGTGAGAGACATATCAACCGAATTTTCAGTGAGCTCGCAGATATCCGCCCATTTGAGCTTCTTAGAGCACAACGCGATAAGAGCAACTACCTGCTGGTGAAGGAAGCCCGCATCGTCGCCATGACATCGACGCACGCTGCCATTCGCCGGCAAGAAATTGCACAACTTGGCTTCAAGTATGACAATGTGATTATGGAAGAAGCCGCTCAAATCACCGAGATTGAGAACTTCATCCCATTCGTATTGCAAAAGCCGCGTGTAGAAGACGGCAAAGCGCCCGAAAATGCTCTCCAGCGGATCGTCCTCGTGGGCGACCACCTCCAAAACTCTCCAGTCATCCAAAACAACGCACTCAAAACCTACGCAAACCTCGAACAATCCCTGTTCCAACGCTTAGTCCGACTCGGCGTCCCACACATCATTCTCGACGCTCAAGGACGAAGCAGGCCATCTCTCGCAGACCTCTACAAATGGCGCTATCCATCTCTCACCAACCTCCCATTCACATCCACAGCACAGGAATTCGTCTCCGCAAATGCTGGCTTCCGACATGAATACCAATTCATCGATGTACCTGACTACAAAAACTCTGGCGAAAGCGAACCCACACCGCATTTCATCCAAAACTTGGGCGAAGCAGAATACGCCGTCGCTTTGTATCAATACATGCGTCTCCTCGGCTATCCCGCCGGGAAGATTTCGATTCTGACAGCATACTCGGGCCAAAAAGCATTGATTCGCGATGTTCTCACTCATCGTTGCAAGAACAATCGACTCTTCGGTATGCCCGGCTGGGTCGGTACAGTGGACAAGTACCAGGGAGAGCAAAATGACTACATCATTCTTTCGTTGACGAGGACGAAATCTCCCGGGTATTTGCGAGATTTGAGAAGACTGACTGTGGCGTTATCGAGAGCACGACTGGGAGTGTACATCTTGGGAAGAAGGGAAGTGTTTGAAAGTTCGTTGGAATTGAGGGAGGCATTTGGTGCCTTTTTAGAGAGATCGACAAAATTGCAAGTGGTGCCGAATGAGCTGTTCCCTACCGAGAGGTTGGTGGATGATGCGACGGTGGAAGCGGTAGAGATGGCAGGGGTGGAGCATCTGGGACAGTATGTCTTTGAAATGACGAATGCGAAAGTGAAGGCTTTGAAAGAGGGGACAACGCAATTACCGCCTCCTGCGCAGGATGGTGGTGGCGGTGTTGAAGAGGACGGAGAAGGAGAAGGAGACGAGGAGGGTGGGTTGGTGCTGGATGGAGATGGAGATGTAAAAGTATGAATAAAAACAGGAACAGGCAAGTAATGCCAATGTTGTAGAAATATTGAAGATACCCACCGTCCATCAGCAGCAGCACTTCAAGATATCATATGATCTAATCTGGTTCTCGTTGAACGTCGCTCTTCGTCATCATCATAATTTCCTCTCTCAAGAAGTCTGTAGCCCTCTCCTCCCACCCCGACTATGCACCAACCGTCCCTTAACCCACACCGCCAAAGTATTCCGATCATCGCCTCCATAGACCCATTTATTCACATTATCATCCCAACTCTCATGTCCAAAAACATCCACAATTCCTGTCTCCAAGAAATCCATCTTGCCATTCACTCCTTCTCCTTCGCCAGCAGCATAGTCATCACCAACAACATCCAAACCAATCATTTGGGCATCCCAATCCATTCCGACTTCAAATCCTCCAATGCGATGTTCCAAATTACATACTTTGGCACCACCTCGCGTGGCTAAATATAAAGCTTCCTCGACGGAAAGTTTGACGTCGTCTTCTCTCTTAATCGAAGGAGTGCCACCATTACCATTACCGTCGGAAGAAGAAGGAGAAGAAGAAGACATAAACAAATGTCTCGAAGTAAACAACGCTTCCCGACATTCCGCAAGAATCGAGGGGGTATACCCGCCACTCACATCCGTTCCCAAGCCAATCGTGAGACCCTCATTCAGCAGACTTCGAATTGGCGCGCAACCGGATGTGAGGGCGGTGTTGGAAGCGGGACAGTGAGAGATTTTGGCTTGGCGAGTTTTAATGAGTTTGCGTTCTTCGGGAGTGAGATGGACGCAGTGTGCGAGAATGGTTTGGGAGGTGAGGAGGCCGGCTTGATCGTAGACGTCGGCGTAAGAGGTGGAATTGGGAAAGAGGTCTTTGACGAGTTGGATTTCTTGCAAATTTTCGGAGATGTGGGTTTGGATGGGTACGCCGGTGTCTTTGTGTAGTTGACCGAGGGAGTTGAGAGATTCTGTGGAGCACGAAGGAGCGAAGCGGGGTGTGATGATCGGGCTGACTTGGTCGAAATGGGGATCGATGGATCGAATGTGTTCGATGCAGGCTTTGGCATCCGCGAGAGATGTGGCGGCGGATTCGTCGCGGTAGTAGTCTGGTGCTAAGGAATCCATGCATACTCTCCCGATGAACGCTCGTTGGCCTTTGGCGTGGCAAATATCTGCCAGGAGATTCGTGGCGGGGACGTGAATGGTCGCGTAGTAGCAGGCTGTGGTGGTGCCGTGTGAGAGTGTTCGCGAGACGATGCGGTTGTAAATCTTGGACGCTTTGGCGAGGTCGGAGAAGGAGGATTCCAGAGGAAAGGTGTAGGTATTGAGCCAATCCAGCAGTGTGGACTTGCCAAATATGCCCGCATTGGGGTATTGGGACGCGTGTATGTGGGTGTCTGCGATGGAGTGATTAGGATTCGATCACATGAGGAAATGTCCCTCGAACATACCAATGAAACCAGGAAAGAAAAATCCCAATCCGGTAATGCTCACAACTTTGGCATTTTCCCATCCTTCGCGAGCCGGTATTTGCTTGTCCTTCGTTTCCCTGGATATAAAAGCGATTTTTCCGCTTTCGTCCACGCCAATGATGCCGTGAGAACATATATCCAGCGTCGTGAGGTCTTGGCAGTGTATGAAGGCTCCGACATAGAGCGTTTTCTCCAGTGTAGCCATCCTGATTCGAGTTGGCGTGTGGAGGCTCTGATGTTGTGGAGCAGGTTGTAGCGTAATGTAAACGAAGCAAATCGACGTGCCTGCAGGTCTGTTTGTTTAGTTGTTTGCGAGGAAGGGATCTGGGAGGAACGTTAGCAAGTTAGCTATCTCTTGGCGCTGACCTTTCGGCTCTGGCCAGCGTCGGCCGGCGCCGATGAGAACAAGAGACACACAAACTCGGTCTGGACGCGAGGCTCTGTCTTTAAGGGTATTGACAGGGTCTAAATGTAATACTGTAGGTACTGATCATACGCCATGTCAAGTCACGAGACAAGACTCAATGTGCTATTGCCTCCCCAATGGCTTTCGCCAGTCGTCGATATTCCAACAATAGTTCCTCCACCTCTCCTAACTTGAGCTGATTTGCACTCTCAATTTCCAAGAATCGCTTCTTGGGTGGCTTCAAATTTCTCAGCTCTGCCAAAGACTCCCTCGCATTCATTTCGTCGCTTTCCTCAACTCCGGCGACAGAGTCCTTGCTACGAGTCCTCTCCAATGCAGACGGCGTTACTGCAAGGCCATCCGGGCTTTGACGAATACTGACAGGTGACTCTACGATTTCATTCATACGTCCTTGAGCTGCGGTGGCACCTGCGGGTACTGCCGGTGGCTTCGTATCAAGTTGCCCCGGCGGCACAGTATTGGCGACAGTGCTAACACGACCGAATCGCGGCACGAAAGCAGGCATGCCAAACTTGTTCAGGGGATTGATGGAGTTAAACAAGCCAGACGGGGTCGTATGTTGTTGCGGCGTAGATCTCTCTTTCGCAGCCATAGTCTTGCTGTCGAATGTTACAGCCCGTCTTCCACTGCCTCCAGATCTCGCGCTGTCTGCACTTCTGTCGCGTACGTTCTTTTTGCCTCCTAGGAACTCCAGCATCTTGTTCGGCTCGAGTAAACTTCCACCTGCAGATAGAGGATCGGCAGGGACCGGACTACTATGTCCAGAGAGATGGAGTGAATCATCGTCCTCGGTGCCTATGACTGGTGATGAGACCAGACGTCGCGCTTCTTCCAATGTCTTAGGTAGAGACGACCTTGAGTCAGCAACTTGCTCTTTGAAACGGCCGAAGAGGAACTGCATGCTGTTGTCAAGTGTGCCATTAACAGATTCGTATAGCTTATCAGCAGCGTTCAGAAAGTCTTGCCGGCCCGTATCCACGCGAGCACTGGTATTCGCAATCATAGATGAAATGCGTCGCTGGTGCATCTGTGGTCTGACGGGTATAGGTCCGACTGGACCAGGGGATGGCGGAGTTTTCTCTGCACTGGCTGAGCCGGTAATCATCTCAGGAGTCGCCGTCGCCGTCGACAAGTCGGGCGTCAAGAGATGGGAGTTCTTAGGTTGTACGATTGACGTAGGACCTTCAAGTCTGGGTGTTGAGGAACGGCTCGAGGAAGATGGAGCCTTCGCGTCTGGTCCCTGTGGCAGCTCATCTGCGCGTAGCGACGAGAGATCGACGGTCTCAAGAAAGGAGATCGCTGCTTCAAGGTTCACTAAGCAGTACGCTGCTTCGCCGTCAACTTTGCTCGACATCCTGAATCGCTGTATGAATGCAAGATTGCTGACTACGTTGATCCCATCTGGCGGACATGTGATCAGGGTGTAAATCAAGGTGGGCAAGATTTCGTCAGCTGATGAAGAGGATGGGAAGATCTGCGAAAGAGTTTCGACAATCGCTTGGTGAGCAGCTGTAAGCTGATGTAGCTTTCCGAGTGGATAGTGGTCATCATCCATTCGGTGCAAGGCCTCGCGTGCTGGTGCCAATGACAGATTGATCTCATCTTCTCGTTCTTCTGCAAGCTGCCGTACATCTGGCTTGTCCGCATGTAGTTCTTTCAGTCCGATTCCAACCAGCGATAGTGCCTGTGTCCTTGAACGCAGCTTGTCATCTCTAGCCTCGTCATCCGTGCTCCGGTGCTTCCAGATCTTGTCATAAATCTTCTCGCAGACTGCACGCTCAACCGCCTCTTGTAACGCAATCCGCTTGTGCTCCAGCAGCTTTCTGGCCTTCTTTCTCTCTGCGACCTCTGTTGCTGTGAGCATCTCTGCATGACCTGCTGCATCATCGTTCAAGCCCTTCTTCGCCCCTGACCCGGATCGCTGTCTTCCCTTGCCCGTTCTTGTCTGTGCTTGTGGTGTCGGTCGGCCTATTCGTGCTGCAAGAGTTGCAATATGTGTAGCTATATGATTTGCTGCACGCTCGTAGAAGTCTTGAAATAGATCTGACAGCTGATCTGCATTGAGCGGCGTGGGGTGCACCTTTGCTGACAGGCTCTCCAGGAAGCGAGCACAAAGCGTTCTTATCTCAATCGGAAGCTCGTCCATGGTGCTCGGCACATTGAGTCCCGGCGTACTCGCACCCTCTATCTGCTCTTGGTGATGCTCCCCCTCCTCGTGGCTTTCAAACACGTCTGCCATTGACCGCTGTCCGTCGAGCTCCTGGGAACTCGCTATGTGTCTCGCTTCAGGTACAGCAGGTATACCAGCCTCCTGTAATGTGCTTGCTCTTTTCCTAGAAGGTGAGCCGGGCGACTCAGCTTGCCGCTCGGCCATTCGGTCTGCCATGCGTGAGAACGATCTGGAAAGATGCAATGGCTTCGGTCTCGTGCTCGCTGGCACTGTCGGCGGGGACTGTGTTTCTGCCATGGTGAGTAAGGTTGCTGTAGCACTCGTCCACTCCGTATTGTTCAGAGAAGGAGAGTCGCCAGGAGGCAGCAGCGAGGTATCTTGTTATACTTCTCCAGGCAGACGGCGGGCTCTCATCTCAGCATCCCGGAGGCGGAGGGCTCGGGGCTCGGGCGGATCACTGAACAGACTCCCGTGGGATGTTAAGTTTGACAGGATGTTGAACAGGTATGGACTCCAGTTTCCAGGCTGTTCTGTCTCCCGTCTCACCTCACCTGAATGCAGGCACTACCTCAACCAGGATGGAGGAGTGGCGTGGCCGTGGCGTGGCGCGAGAGGCATGTGAAGCGATCGACGCCATCGATAAACGAGAGCGGGAAGCGGGACGACGGAAGCCCAAAGCGACCAACCGCCATCCGTGACCCCCGGCTTCCGTCTTCAACTTCATCTTTATACTACTACTTCTACCTATATATATACACTACTGTATATACTCGCTATACGCTCGTCGCCTACCTTGTCGTTATTGCTAAATCCGTTATTACCTACCTCTCTCTTTATTGCTAGATATATCATCGTAATAATAAGTTATCTATATAATAAAGCTATTACTATAGTAACTTAAATAATTTACTATAACTATACCAACTTTTACTCTTCTACTGCCGTAGAGGTAGATAGCTATAGTATTCTAACTATAGTATATTTATACTTATCTTATAAACTTGTATATTACTAGTATACTATAGATTTCTTATATCTACTACTTTAGTAGAGCTTAGTAAGCTCTTAAGTATAATAGATAAGGGTACTAACGTCTATTGTCTATATTAATAATATCTATACTAATAATAGAAAGAAGGAAACTAAAAAGAAGAAGGAAAAGAAGGAAAAGAAGAAGAAGAAGAAGAAGAAGAAGAAGAAGAAGAAGAAGAAGAAGAAGAAGAAGAAGAAGAAGAAGAAGAAGAAGAAGAAGAAGATAAGAATAATACTAGATACCTATATAGCTATCTCTAATTAGGCAGAATATATAAATGTCTTAGTAACGGCTTCTTACTAGATCTACTAGATACTACTTACAAGCTATATAGTAATAAAAACCTAATACTTATTATAATCGACATTTAAGCCTCTAGGTACATCTGTTTGAAGTATATTACAAGTATATAGGAAGCATATATATAGATTTAAATATAGAGGTGTATATATGTAGGTGCATGTATAGTAGTGTATATATAGTGAAGCAGTATAAAGATGAAGTCGGAGGTCGGGGGGTAACAGATAGCTGTTGGCCGCTTTGGACCTCCGTGCTAGAACATCCCAATTCTCCGGAGCTACTACTCGCATTCACTGTTGCTCCATTCGCACTCTTCACATGCACATCTGCAAGTGGTAACTTTGTAACACCTCTACCTCCAATCTCCACCTACAACAACACGCGCATTTCTCAATCGAGACCGATCATAACGCCCTCGATCTCCTCCTCCTCCTCCTCCTTCCCCTCGTCCCCCCATCACGCGATGTCGTCCGGTCGGCCCGGCGAGAAGGTCGTGCACCAAGACTACATCGCGCGCATACGATATAGCAATGCGCTTCCTCCTCCACCAAATCCGCCAAAACTGCTGGACATTCCAGGAACTGGGCTTTCAGGCGGGCAATACACGAGCGCTGGCTACTCGTCGCGACTCGCGCGAGATCAGCCACTGAACATCGAAGCAGATGCAGAATTGGGAATGCCCATAGATCTGATTGGTATACCCGGCATATTTGAGGGCAAGGAGGAAGGTGTGTACACTCTGGCGGCACAATGCCTGTGTACAATATCAGCCCCAACTGACACGGCGCAGCCATATCTTTCCGACCCAATGCGAAAGAGCTCCTGCATCCTGCAGACAGGGCGCTTCTGAGACCATTAGGGCAGCTGGGCAAAGCAGGGGCATCACAAGGCTCTGTGTCGTTTCTTCGGAGAACCGAGTACAGCTCATCGCAACAAGCACAACATTTCTCATCCTCGACATCGAAAGACCTGTTGCGAATGCGCAATGACAACAAGAGGCGGAAAGCTTCCATGAACAAGGATGACCCAATCAACATCATGCGACATATTGTGAAGGGCTTCGACATTGCATATCCCCAAGATGCATACAAAGGCGAGGACAACACAGAGAACCTGCGCGGAGCAGAGGTTACTGATGCTGAGCTCAAGGCGTGGTCGCGTCCCAAACACCCCACCAACCCAGACTTGAAACTGCTCGACTCCTACCCAATTCTGCCCGATGCAGATGCTATACCATCACTCGGCTTCTACATGGTCATGAAGTATGTTTCAAATCCATCAGACATCCGCGATACCTACGATCATCGGCTGGACACTGCGCTCATGAAACCTGTGTCCGATGAGCGAGCGAACGAGGAATTTGCAGAAAAGCTTCGCGAGTGGCAAGAGTCTGATATGTCAAAACCGGAACCCATCCAGGAGTATGACTACGACTACTACCTCCCCATCGATCGTCAAGCTGTGCGCGGCATCAAGAGGAAGCTGGATGTGGGAGCGGCTGACAAGGACGACGATGCGCTCTACACAGACGACAATGGTGACGGCGTGCCATGCTTCAAGTACAAGCGAATACGGACATACGAGACGTATAAACAGCATGGAGACAGCAGGAACATGTACAATGATGCGGTGGCTATAGCGTTGCACGATGCAGATGGCGAATCTGGGAGTGCACGACTGCAGAAAGGAGCATACTTTTATCCAGTTGTACAGACGACGGCCCTGCGGCCGAAACGCCAGACAGCGCAGAGCCAGTACGGCACAGAACCCAAAGTCGACGAGCTGAACGTAGTAATAGGCGATCCAAAGGTCGTGGCAGTCGCAGAAGAAGAATAATACCTATCCACGTAGGGGTAGGTCCTCGAGAGTCAAGAGTCCAGACAGGAGGCTTATGCCACGGTCCAGGGAGGTAGACAGATATTCGCAGTTTCGGACTGAGACAGTCAAGTTGTCAATAGTTAAGTATACCTAGGTCCTCGAGAGTTGAGACACGAGGCTTAGGCTACGGGCTAGTGAGGTGGACAGATGACAGCAGCTTCAAACCGAGACAGTCAAGTTGTTGATAGTCAGGTAGTCGTAGGAAGCCACACATGACAGTAGGTACATTGTCATCGTGACTGCCTAGGTAGCTCGAGTGACTTCGGTGCTCGACACTACGCGGCTCTACAGTTTCTACTATAAACCCAGTTACTCTTTAACTTACTATTCACTGGGCGATCCTATTGTGAATCCGGTGTTCTGCAGTGCTACTGTAATTATCGTGTGTTCCTCCCTCTATCCTTGTATACCTCCTCAAGGTAGATTATTTCCTAGTTGCAGAGGGCCATCGATGGGAAATGTTGCACCAAACACCGACACCGACACCGCTCCTGAATGAGCGGAGACTGGAAGCTTCTCTTGCAAGACGCGAACAAGCTTAGGTAATTGGAGTCTTCCTTGCCAGCCTGCGTGCCAGACTGCCCATCACCCGGTCCACTGAACTGCCTTGCACGTGCACATCAGTCGCGCGCAGCAGTGAACAGCACTCGGTGAGCAGCAGTCGGACACACTCGCCAGAGAAGCTTCTGGAGAGCCGGACAAATTTGCAGCTTGCGGAGGAGAAACAGGCCCCACGACACGAGACAACACGAGACAGGACGAGACCGGACGAGACAGCCCTCCACAGCAGCCAGAGCGGCAGCACCACTGGACTTGGACTGATTCGACCGACGCGCCCTCGCGCCTCCGCTTCGGCCTCCGCCTCGGGCTCGAGCTCCACGACCGACACCAACACCGACCGCAACTCCTTTGAAGCAAGCAAGATGCCTTGTTTCAAAGGCCTTGCGGTCTCCATACACACTCCAGATGGCCCTATCGCCGAGCACTCGGTTCAGAAGCAGACTCGGCAATCGCGCATCACCACCTACATCCCTGTTCCTCCAGCAAAAGTCCCGTCTGGCTCGACCTCAGGAAAGCCGGAGCAATCGACCTTTGCCATTAGTATCACTCTTCTCACGCCGGGCCTCAATGTGCCCTACTCGACGCCCAAGCCTACCATCGAGGATCCATACCCCAAGCCGCGGACAGTGGGAGGCTTGCCGGGTGCAACGGGTGAGAGGGGCAAATACCAGGGAACCGTCCCGCCATACGTCTCACGGACGCCGAATCCAAATGAAACGATAGCAGCGTACATTTATTTCGACGGACGTGGCAAGGAAGAAGTCGCAACACTGCTGAGGAAGGGCGAAGAGACCTGGGTGAACAGCCGTTGGGTCAGTGTGCCCAAGGAGGAGGGTGGAGGTCTTGCAGAACGTGAGTTCCTGTTTAGGGAAGTACCGTTAGAGAGGTGGCTCAACGGACTTGACCTGGAGGGTACCGACCAGGCCAAGAAAGAGCGCATAGAGCGACGGCAGAGGAGACTGGAGAAGAAGAGGAGGAAGAGAGAGGAGGAGAAGGTGAGCGATGATGATGATGATGATGTTGAACGACTGACTACTACTATTCGTCGCAACGGTGTCTTGAGGTATGGAGGTGAGGACGGGCCAGTCGAGGATCTCCAGGACGACGATGGGCTCTTCACATCAGACTCGGATTCGGAAGACGATCCCCCAGAGCCTGAAGCAGCTGGCCAGATCAAAGTTGCTCTTTTTCGTGTTCTCGCCAGTGGTGAGATCAAGCGTGGAGAGTACTCTCCTCAATTTGGTGCCCACGACGACGACCACATGGATGGCAATGGCGAGGGGGGCGCAAGCGAAGACGTGGACCACACCACGAGCTTCGCAAAGCCAAAGGCACTGGATCCTAAGACTATCAGCACGCAGACAGTGACCGGCTTGGATCCTCCAGAGTCTCCTTATGCAGTGTTCACTTTCTTCTACCGGGGCGAGAGACAGCTTAGAAAGATGGGAATCATCTCGACCCCAGGTGCACAGAAAATGCCGCAGTCGAGTGGTCGTAGAAAGTCCTCGACTACGGATTTCTCCAAGCTGGGTCCGCTGAAGTCGCATGGAACAAAGGGCTTCTCAGGTTACCGAGACACCGCAACGGTCAAGCGGAAGGGCAAGGACAAGGACATGGACGCTATGGACAGTGATGCTGACGATGAAGATGAAGAACGACTGCCAGATGGCGATGACGAAGCGGACGACAAGCAGCCCGATGGGGGGAGTGCACACCTGTCACCCGAGGACGCGAGGCGCACCAACGAAGTGGCCGAAGGTGTGCAGAAGATCAAGGTAAGCATGAAAGCACATCAATCCGCGCACATACTGACACGCTGCAGCTCAAACGTCAACACTCTGCGGAACCGCTGAGCGAGGCCAGTACGACACGCAAATCACCGCACATCAAGGGCGAAGAGTCAACAGATGCAGGTACGCCGAAGTCAATTAACTCGGTCACAGCCAACGCTGGTACGCCCCCGAACGGTTTGGCTCCTCCAGCGAACGATGCGGAAGCTGTCGCTAGTCCATTCAAGCGCCAGCGAGCCAGTCTGCCTGGCCTAAACAACAGCCTGTTCACCAGCGAAGCAGGCTTCTCGCCCGCGATGTCCCTAGCAGCGCCCGTGGATGCCAAACAACCAAGAGCGTTCTCCACGCCAGAATTGAAATGCGACGCTGCTGCTAAGCAGGACGATGTCATCGATGAGGATTTGTGATTGTGGCATGCCTTCAAACTTCACTCGACGCGATTACTGGTTTGAAAGAAAGGCCGAGACTCTGACGAAGAAGCGGAAGAGGAAAATATGTATGAGCCACTCGAGATCTCCCACACTCGATCGATCGACGAAGCTACAGCACCACACCTCTGCGGTTTCCACCATCGGATCATGGCCCGATGCGGAACCCGCGAGTCAAGGTAAGCACTCAGATCCTTGGGCTGAATGCCAAAGCTCACGCACTTAGCTGACCGTCTCGAGCAGCGCGGGCGGAACGACGTGCTCTGCGTTACGCTGTCCTTATAGTAGTTCAAAGGGCTCATGCGAGGGCTTCAGTCTGTCATGCTGAATCGCATGACCTTGCGCACGCTGCAGTGCTATTTTTCCGTCGTTGTATAGCACGCTCGTTGAATGTTAATGATGCTCGAGCTGGATGAGGAATAGACGAACATCAGCGCTTCATAAGAGATGTTGGGAAGCTAGCTGCTCATATACATCACTTGCTATCTTTGCATGCTGCAAGTCATGGTCCAGGATTCGCAGCTGAAGTAGTGCTAGCGTATCATATCTTTCCTCTGCATGCAGAGGAGTGCACTTCTGCGAAATGCGAATGATCGGGATCTGAAGCCTTTTTTTTTGTCACTCGTGGTGATATGAATCTTTGCTGGAAGTGAGCGGCAGAGCTGACGTGGACCTGCAATCAGTCTTTTCCTCGGGCAGCACCTCGTGAAATGAAGTGGCAGACCACGCGCGTGAGGTGCCTATCAAGTATAATGTTTGCGGCGCGACGCTCTAAAGGCGACCTCTGGTCAGTCGTTATGCGCATGTACATGTAGGTACCTGAATACTGAAGTGAACAGAGAAAGTTTGGGCGGCCCAGGGCCTGTGCCCACAGAAGCATCTCATGTGCTGGCACGAGCGAGAACAGACATGAATAGTACGATGATCAAACCGAGCTACAGCCACGGAGCTTTCGATTACATCCTACAGGATCTTGCATGCACGGCTCTACCTATGATATCACGCCATCACTCTTCAGAGTCTTGATCTCGTCTGACTTCATTCCCAGAAGTTCCGTCAAGACTTCTGTCGTGTGCTGTCCTAAAGTCGGAGGCGGTTCTCGTATGCTTGGCTGTGTATCACTGAATTTCACAGGCGGACTGACGAGCTTGATCGGTCCACAGGTGGGATGCTCGACTTCGGTTATCATGTTTCGCTCGAGTGCTGTTGAAGAAACAGTTTGTTAGTATGATATTTTTCTTTTGAGAAGAAGAAGAAGAAGTGAGAATTGTCATCAACTCACTATGTTCCAGCTCCAGTGTCTTTTTCACATCGTTGATGGGCGCATATGGCATTCCACTTCCTTCGAATATCGCCAACCACTCATCCGTTGTCTTGGTCGTAGTCACCGCTTCAATTTTGGCCTCCAACTCATCCCTCACCTTTACCCGATCGGCATTCGTTTTATATCTCGCATCCGTCGCCCACGCATGGTGTCCGATTTTCTCACACAGGATGCCGAATAATCGATCATTCCCGCCTCCGATCAAAATGTCGCCATCTTTTGTCTTGAACCCTTTATATGGCACGATGCTCGGATGTGCAGTGCCCCAACGTCCCGAATCCGGTTTGCCAGAAATCAGACAGCTGGAAGCGATGTTGGCGAGGGTGGCAATTTGACAATCCGCGAGCGCAACATCGATATGTTGTCCTCTACCCGTTTTGGCTCGAGCGAGTAATGCTGCCATGACGCTGTTGCTCGTGTATAAGCCCGTGGTCAAATCTGTGACTGCCACGCCGACCTTGGCGGGTGGTCCGTCTCGGTGGCCTGTGATGTGCATCAGACCGAATTCAGCTTCGACCATGACATCGTAGCCCGCTCGTTTCTTGTTGGGACCTGTGTGGCCATATCCGGTGATACTGGCGTATATGATGCTCGGATTGACTGCGGAGACACTGGCGTAGTCCATGTTGTATTTTTTCAAAGCATCGGGCAAATAGTTCTCGACGAGAACATCGCATTCTTTGGCTAGTTTATGAAGAATCTCGACGCCGGCAGGGGATTGAAAGGACAGGCCTATAGATTTCTTGTTACGATTGGCCTAGGTAGGAGTCAGAGTGAGTCAACTGTATCCATCATTCGAGGAGTCCCATCATACGGCCAAGAAGTAGGCACTCTCGCCAGCACCTTGCTTGCCACTCTGCTCGGTATACGTTGCATATGGCGGTCCCCATGCTCGCGTATCATCTCCTCTTGTAGGGTGTTCGATCTTGATCACTTCAGCCCTATCTTCATATAAGCAGAACTCCTCCGATTACAGCCAGACCTGGAGACGGTCGTACTGGGCCTAAGATGCATACCCGAGGTCACCCAAAATTTGTGTGCAGTATGGCTGTTCTTCGTAAGCATTTATGAGCATGGTGGTCTCATGAGCACACAGCACCTACACCAGCGAGCACTCTGGTCATATCGAGCACTCGGATACCAGCCAATGGCAGTTTGCTCGGATCTGAGGCCGGCGTTGCTAGCCATCTTCGCTGTGATGGTGCTCGGCCCGTCGTTTGCAAAGATGATGATCGGCTCAAGAGGCGGAGAGACTTGTGGAAAGACATTTTTTTTATATATCAACTTGAGGCCAGCTCTCCAGTGATGATGGTCTGCAGTTACGTACTTTTTCTTTCTCATCCATCTACATCTTCATCCGTGGTACCTCCTAGACCTCGGAAGTAATAGTAAGCTGCGATCCCTCCCCCCAGCCAAGGCATATCACCTCCGAGATCGGCATCAAGACGGAGCTCCTTAATGATGTATTGGCGGAAACGTGCATGACGCTTACACCAAAAAAGTACTCTGCTCTGCAATCACCAAAACTCCCAAACCCAAGACAGCGAAGCACAGCGGAAACAATGTTCACAGGCATCGTCGAGACTGTTGGCAGTACGTCTTGTGCTTCTTACTCTCTCATGTGCGACGCTGCGCTGACATTTGGCCAGCCGTCTCCAAGCTCGTGGAGCTCGATGAGTCTTCCAGTGGAGGTGGGGGAACTTCCCTGACCATTAGCGACTGCGCCGAGATATTGGTCGATTGCCATTTGGGCGACAGCATCAGCGTCAATGGAACCTGCTTGACTGTTACGGAGTTCAGCAAGAATGAATTCAAGGTAGGCTGTGCGCCAGAGACTCTGCGAAGGACGAACCTGGGCAAGTTGAAGGAGGGCAGTGGGGTCAATTTGGAGCGCGCTGTGAGTGCGAGTACGAGGATGGGAGGACACTTTGTGCAAGGGCATGTGGACACTGTTGCTGTGATTGCGGAGAAGAGGCCGGATGGCAATGCCATCACCTTTCGCCTGCAGCCTCGCGACAAGAGCGTGCTACGATATATCGTCGAGAAGGGCTATGTGACGCTTGATGGCGCTTCACTTACCGTCACGGCTGTCAACGATGAAGAGGGGTGGTGGGAGATCATGATGATTGCCTACACGCAAGAGAAGGTGGTTATGGCTGCGAAGGAAAAGGGCGAGGATGTGAATGTGGAGGTCGACATGGTCGGCAAATATGTCGAAAAGAGTGTAGCTGCATACTTTGAAGGCAGCGGTGCCACTGGAGGTGCAATGCTCGAAAAAATGGTCCAGAATATTGTCAAGGGCACACAATGAAGCTGTGTTGTGAAGAATTTCGATCCGTTTGGAACTTACTAGTGAATGGACAGATGAAGTGAATATACACCATTCACATCAGGTGACGTGAAGGTTCGCGAACAGCCAAGTTCCATTGTTGTTTTTGTTGCTGCACATATAAATTCACGTTGCGACTACCACCTTCAACTGCATTTGCATACTTTGCCCTTCACCCCGATTGACAACACAGAGTAACTACCACAAATCTTCGCCCCATGGCTGACACCACAAAAGTTATTGTCCCGCCAGAGGACGACGTGGATCTTTATGCGGATAACGCAATAGCATTGCGCAATTTCTTCGACAAGCAGAACGAACACTGCATATGCGATTCTGGCGACATTGTGCTGGTCGTCAATGATGGCTTCCACCCGATTCAGAAGCTTCGAGTGTCTTCCCATGTGCTCGCAATGAGCTCCAGGGTCTTCGAGGTCCTCTTCTCGGGACGATTCGCTGAAAGTCTGGCGGCGAAGGATCGTTCTTCCAGTGAGCCACACGAAGTTGAAATACAAGATGCGCCGGTACCGATGAGGCAGCTATGTCGACTACTGCATCATCAAGAAATTTTTGCGACAGGAGACAAGGTCAAGCACATGCAATCGTGATAGTCGAACGCAGCTAATCTGTTTTTAGTCCGCGAAAGCCCTGCTTGATCTGGCTATCGTGATTGACAAGTACGATTGCTGTTTGACACTCCACTTGCAAGCTGACGCGCTGCTCCAACACGCTACAGACTCCCATTTTGACGAGGCCATAAGTCACGCCCAAGAGTCCTACGGGCTCCAACGTCTCGTCACAGCAGCATACATGCTGGATCGGCCCTTACACTTCCGTCGTCTCTCGAGCCAGTTGGTGCTGCAGACCACAATGATACAGGCGAAAAGTTTCGAGGCCAGATGCCTGGATATACTGCCAGAGAGCTTTGTGGGCTCGCTTTTTAATCAACAGAATGTGGCGCAACAGGAACTGTCCAGGCAGGTCGCGAGACTAGTCATGGAGTTCAAGGAGGCTGCAAGAGCAGCATCGCGTGAGTCACTCGTCGTGGATTTTCTGGACAATCTTGGAAGAGCGTCTGGCCTGTGGCTCCCGGATACAAAGCGTCCGCTCTCTTCGCAACTCGATGGTCTGAGGGAGACCGAGCTTCCAGTGGTCCCTCTCCCAGATGGTGCTGAGATGTCGAACCCCAACAGAAGTGGAAATGAATATCCGAGCTTAATGGCTGCCGGAGGCTGGCTCACTTTTGACCATAAGCAGCTCAGGGGACCAACCGAGAAATCACTCAGGGAACGTGCAGCATCCGTCCGTGAAATATGTGTCGGAGTTTGTTTGGACTGCATCAAGCATCGCGAGTGCCGCAAGAGCCATCGTCACTTGTGGAAGTACTCAGAGTCTGATTCATGTTTTCCCTATGGATCTCATCCCGATGCAGAGAGCACCTGCATTGGAGGAAGGCCGGATTTCGTTCACTCTATCGAATATCCGGGCTACTGGGAGAAGTGTTGGTAGAATTCCGCATGTGAGGGCATCGAAGTCACAAGCCTGAGAGAGGAGCAGCGTCGTAGATGCTATACAAAAGGCTATCAGATATGGAGAGGAAAATGGAGACTGAGGGGCTCACAGCGTACTGGATACTGGCCATGCATGCTAGGCATGTGCGTCGCAGAAAGGGCCATCGAGCTTAGACAAAGTAAGGGCTACCACACGTACCTGTAGATACTTTACGCTACCAGAGCAGTAGCAAGAGGTCTTACTTGAGGTACTAAAGTGCCCATGTATTTGCTCCTACAGTCTGCTATCGAAGAAGTAGAAGCAGTAGAGTTTTGCAAAACAAACACGAGACAACAACAATCCATGTCGCCATAGTACACGTTTCGCTCGACAACGAGCTTGAATGCCGACATCACACACCTCAGAAGTATGTAGGTACAACGTCTTTGTGGTTCACCCCTCTTCTCGCAAACGAAATGGCACAAAGTGAAGTGAAGTCACACTAGTATACCTCATTAGCCCAGGTAGGCAAGGCAAGCACCCTCTTCTCGGCGAAATCTCGGCACTAGAACGACACGTCTTCAATTAGGATAGGTAGCCACGAAAAAGGAGCGGTCCCTCTCGCGTTGTCTTTACTCTTTTTTGCGATCAACAACACTACATACATGAGGTATACAACAAACTGACTTCTCGAACACCGACATCACGCAACGACAACCCGCCAACATGCCTACTTACTGGCTCTCCGATAGCCAAAGTTCGTCTAAACCATCCGTCCATCCTTCCTACACCACCAAACACCACCACGACTTCTACTTCTACTTCTACCTACCCATACTTCTACTGCCACAGCATGTATAATATACTAACCCTCTCCCTCCAGAAATCGGCGTAGCATTCTGCACAGGCGGTAGGTACGCTCCCCCTCCTCCAAAAAAAACCCCACAAATCCCCCCAAATCAAACCCTTTCACCCAAAGCCTCCTCCCATTCCCTCCTCACTCTCCCAACCCCATCTCTAATCTCCTCTCTCTTCAAAAAAAGGCGGCTTCTTCCTCCTCTTCGGCCTCATCCTCCTCTTTGACCGCGCCCTACTCGCAATGGGAGACATTCTCTTCCTAATCGGCATCACACTCCTCCTCGGCCCGGCTCGGACGTTTACTTTTTTCGCTCGCAGACAGAAATGGAAAGGCACATTGGGGTTTTGGTCGGGGATACTGCTCATTTTGATGAGGTGGCCGTTTGTGGGGTTTGTGGTGCAGTGTTATGGGTGAGTTTTGTTAATTTTTTTTATGGAGGGGGTGGGAGGGGAGGGATGGGATGGGATGGGATGAATGGATAGTGTGAAAGGGAAAAGGGGAAAATAGAAGAGGGGGAAGAGAAAAGGATGATATGGATTATGGAGAGTAAGAGTGCTGATTCTTGCGGGTGAAACTTCTAGGATGTTTATACTGTTTGGAGAGTTTTTCAAGACCATGGCGGGTTTTGCGTATAATGTTCCTGTCGTGGGACCTTATATTGCAAAGGCGTTGAATGTGGCTGGGGATAAAGCGGGAGCTGATGATAGGAGGCATAAGGATTTGCCGGTGTGAGAGACAGCAACAACAGTCTATTATGAGTTGGAAGAAGGACAAAGCTTGGGACAAGACGGAGCTGGAAGCGGCGCCCTTTTTACATCCCAGCTCAGGCACGAGCACAATGGATGGCATGAGGTCAAAGGACGAAGTGGATGAGCTATGAGAAGCATGAGGTACGGTCACCGCGCACGACGCTGGCCGGTCTGGACGACTAGGGCAAGAGATGTTGGCCAGTGATTGGGAAAACGCAGAAAGAGGGAGAAGGTGAAAATCGTAGGTGTGGTCATTACGCCCAGGACACCCAATGCATGCCACGCGTCGAGAAGATGGTATCATAATAATAATAATGCCTTTGTGGTTGAACCACATGGAAATAATTTTTTCGCATCGCGCAGCAGCCGCCGAGCTCATTTATTGCCAGGAATCTCTTTCTGCCTTTCTGTTGCCCCAACACATGCCCGTGTGCATGAGCGCGTTGGTCGGCTCTCCCCAGTTTCTCAAGAGGACGCTAACCACGACTTTGGCGGAGATGGTGTAAATGGTCGGTCCTGGGTGAAATACCGCAAGGTCTTCATGGGCAACGGTGATCCCTTCCTAGAGATGCTCCTAGTGCACACCATTGACGCCATTGGCCTTGCTCTTGACTACTTGACGTCTCGTCCGAACGCCATCTGCGAGCTGTTCGAGCACGGCGACCGTGTCATCCCAGTGAATGCAGGCGTCTGTGATTGAGACACCCGGCTTGAGTGACGACAGACCTGCAGTGCCCGCATTCTGCTTGCCCTCGTTGATGTGTGATTCGATCATGACAGCGACGATGCCCGTCTCGCCCTCGCGAAGCTGGTCACCGATAGTCTGCGCGACCTTGGGCTGGTTCTTGTGATCTTTGAGAGAATTGCCTAGTGTGGGGGTTAGCAGACGCTTGGAAAAGCGCAAATGCCGACAGACTCACCATGCGAGCAGTCAATCATCATGACTTCTGGCAGTCCCTTCTTCCTCAATGCCTCTCTGGTGGCCTTGACGCTCTCACGATCGAAATTTGTGCCCTTGGTACCACCTCTCAGAATCACGAAGCAGTCTGGGTTGCCAGCAGTCTTGGTGATGGCTGCCAGGCCCTGCTTGGTCACACCCAGGAAGTGATGCTTTGCGGCCGCAGCGCCAATAGCGTCCACGGCAACAGTCAAGCTCCCATCTGTGCCGTTCTTGAAACCCATAGGGAAGGACAAACCAGAAGCCAGTTCTCGGTGCAGCTGAGATTCAGTCGTCCTGGCTCCAATTGCACCCAAGGAGATGAGATCTGCTAGGAACTGAGGAGAAATGGTATCCAGCATCTCGGAAGCGATGGGCATGCCTTGCCCAGTCAAATCGCAGAACAACTTTCTACTGATGCGAAGTCCCTTGTTGATCTGGTAGCTCTCGTCAATATCGGGGTCGTTGATCAGACCCTTCCAGCCCACGGTGGTGCGTGGCTTCTCGAGGTATGCTCGCATAATAATGCAGAGATCGTCCTTTAGCTTGTCGGCCAGTTTCACCAATCTTGCGCAGTACTCTACTGCCGTTGCTGGGTCGTGGAGAGAACATGGACCGACCATGACGAGGAGTCGATCATCGCGCTGGTGGATAATCTCGACGGCTTCTTGGCGACCGCGACGGACTGTGTCGAGAGAGAGGGGAGGGGCGGGAACTTCAGCTTCGAGAAGTTGTGGTGGAATGAGAGGGTCGTAGCCCAAGACTGTCGGGAAAAGCGTTAGCGATGCCATTGACAGATGCAGCTCCCGATGTTTGACAGGCGTGACATACCGCGAGCATCGTCCGTTCGCGCTTCTGCCGCTGCCATTGTGCGTGCGTGTGTGTGGGTGGGGCTGGGTGAAAGAGTGAAGTGAGGATGTTTGTGACAAGGAAATAATTCAGCTGCGCGAAAAGGTGACAAAGAGGGGACTGGCGGGGTGTGGTAGGTCAGGTAAGGTAAGGTAGGTAGGTAATTCGAAAGTGTGCTTTCCAATGGCAGAGAGACAGTAATATCGCAGCAATTGACAAGGACGTGATTGGAAGAAGGTGGCAGATGGCAGGAAGAGGGCGCGAAGAAATAGTATGTACGGGAACAAATATTTGTCTGTTGCTGATTGCTGGTTGCTTGCTGGTTCTGCCGGATGACTCTTCGTAAGCGTTGCGGACCCCCAGCCTGGCGTCGCAAAGCGCGAACCAAATTTCTACCTAAGAAAATCCGCGATAAGATTGTCTTAACCGCGTCAACTCACGGAGCTGCCCTCGCTCTGCGGCCTCTTTTCTGTCGGAGCTCGGAAAATGACGTCCGTACCATCACTGGTACCCATAATGTCTCCGATACCACTCCACTCTATGATATCCTCTCCCTCCTACTACTGAACTTTGAAACTCGCCGAGCTGCGAAAGAGAGGCGAGAACAATACCAGCGACAGATGAAGTAAAAACTAGGCACAAATGGTGAAAACGGGGCGGAGCGGAGCGGAGCGGAGAGAGGCTAGTTCTCCCTGGGCTCAATTTTGGACACAAAGAAGCAGCCTTGACCTGTCTAAAACCTGATATCACAGCATGGGCAGCGCCCATGGCCTGGTAGGTGGTAGTGTAGTAGACATTAGATGGCTAGAAATGAAAAAAGATAAAAAAAAAATAATGCCTCGCTCGGTCAGGATCGAACCTCGAGACCATAGGGCTGAATAAGGCCTTGGCAGACCCCGCGTGCGGCACGTGCATGCCATTCCAGCAAATTGAGGTTTCCAACCACACCACTTGACCACACACTCAACACTCACCACAACGCCAACGCGCCTGGTTGAGTCACGCAACTTTCTCTGTTTCTCCTGCCACACTCACTGAGGCTTTCTCGTCACCACTCAGTGCCTCACCACTCACCACACCCATTACCGGATCAGGCATTTTCACCAGGAGAGCGCTCGGAGGAACCACGATCCCGCAAGAAGACGGCTTTTGCAAGGCGTGTGCATACACACACACACATACTAAAATATTCCAACTGGCCCGCCTGCAGCCGTGGTTATTGGCCGTCCGATCTGGTGCAGCTCATGCTATTCTTGCTGATTCATCACCATGCCGGGGCCTGTGCCACGAGTCCGGCATGGCCGCATAGGAGGACTCAAGGCATTGCCGCCCAGGAAGCGTGCTCCAGCAAAGCAAGCTCCAGCCACCAAGACATGTCCGAACAAGGAATGCGGCAGTACTAGATTCAGCGAAGACGACGGCAAAGTCGTCTGTCTCGATTGTTATACCGAAATCGCCGAGAACAACATCGTTGCGGAAATTACCTTTGAAGAAAATGCTGGTGGCCGAGCGACTGTCCAAGGTGGCACCGTCAATGACAACTCTCGCCACGCCAAAACTCTGGGATCAGGTGCATATCGCAAAGTGGGAGGCGGCGAACGCAACTCCTTGGCTGATGTACAGAATGCCGGACGAAAGGCCCTCGAACAGCTATGTCCCAAACTCGGCATCCTTCCCCAGGTCCAGGTGCAAGCGGAACAGATATGGGTGCTCGCGGCCAATATCAACTTCTCCGCTGGTCGGAGAACGGACGAAGTTGTTGCTGCCTGCCTCTATGCAGCTTGTCGACGCCGGAAGGATAATAAGGTTCTCCTTATGGATATCGCCGAGCTTCTACAAATCAACGTGTTCAGACTCGGGGAAGTCTATAAAGACATGTGTCGAGAATTGTACCTGGCCGACGAGAACGTGGGCACGCAACATATGGTCGAATTGGAGCCGCTCATCTATAAGTACTGCGACAAGCTACAATTTGCAGAGAAGACGAAAGATGTCGCAGCGGATGCACTCAAGATCATTCGGAGAATGAACCGCGACTGGATAGTGTCTGGTCGTCACCCAGCAGGCCTTTGTGGGGCTTGTATCATTTTAGCTGCTCGCATGAACAATTTCCAACGCACGGTGCGCGAAGTCGTGTTCGTCTCCAAAGTGGCAGATGTCACAATCGCCAAACGCGTTGAAGAGTTCAGGCGCACCAAGGCTTCTGGCTTGTCAGTGGATAACTTTCGAAAATATGCCAACAAAATCGTGCACCAGCACGACCCTCCTTCTTTCCACAATGGTGACTACAATGCTCAGAAGTTTGCCCGAGCCAAGGCTCGCCGAAAGGCACACATGGAAATGCTGGAGTTGCGTGCTTCACAGATGCGATCGCCCTCTGCGGCGGATATCGTTATCCCAGATGATATGAGTGAAACCTCATCGAGGCTCTCTTCCATTGAGCCGGGCACGCCAGGGCCGACGGAGCCGGTGCCGGGGGTTCAGCACGTGCCAGATGTGGCCCCTATGGCAGTTCCTGCGTCGCAAGGGACGGATAATGCACAGCAGAGTGACGCTGCAGTCAACGACAGCCCACAAGAAACCTCGCCGCCTGCCCAAGAAGGTGATGCTTCGCTCGTAACAACTGCACAGCATAGTGCCAAGCGGAAACGGAACGCAAATGTAGTAAGCTCGTCAGCAACACCCGAACCCGAGACTGCTGGTGAAGCTGGCTCTCCAAAGCGTCCACGTCTTGAGGGCTCTGATCCACCTGAATCGCAAACCCAACAATCCCGTCGCGTCGATGCGGATGGTTTTGCCATCCCTGAAATACCAGTACGAAGGACAGGCAGGGAGGTGCCCCCCGAGGAAACGGCTGCTCCAGTAAAGCGTGGGCGTGGTCGACCAAAGAAGGACCCGCTCCAGGCACCGGAAATCGAGATCTCGCAAGAGGAATTGGCAGAAGAAGATTATCTCGAAACCCAGATCGAGGAGGCTCTCCAGGCTCGCGAAGTTCAAGAAGTGCAAAGTGAAGTAGAGAAACTCAAGGAGGCAGAGCGCATAGAGGCAGAGCGAATGCGAGCAGCGGCGATGGCCGAAGCTCAAGAGAAGTTTGACACGGAGAAGGGAAGACAAGAGCGGCTTGCTCGTGGCGTGGATTACTTTGGCCAAGCCCCGGATTGGACCCCTGGTGTGATACTCACCGCTGCCGAGCTCGAGGCGGAATTCGAGAACGATCCCGAGGTCAATAATTGCATACTTTCCGCAACGGAGATGAAGATCAAGGAGCAGATCTGGGTAGCGCATAATGAAGATTGGCTGCGCAAACAAGCCGAGAAGGAACTCCTCGCAAAAGTGGAAGGAGCCAATGGAAGCAAAAAGAGAAAAGATGGTAAAGGGCATAAAGGCCGCGGCAAAAAACGCGGCACACTGGGAGACGGTTCGGTTCTAACTGAAAGCTCGACCCCGATCGAGACGCCTGCCGACGGCGTCAAAGCCATGCTGGAGAAGCGTGCACCCATGAAATCTCAACATGTAGACTTCTCTGCCCTGCAGCGTATCTACGGACGAGAAACTCCTTCGCGCGCCAGCTCTGCCACACCAGGCGACAGCAGCGGCGCCCAAAGCCCCGTCACCCGAGCAGCATCTGCTGCGCCCACGGAAACTCATGATGATGATGATGATGAAGAGGCGGCGGCGGCGGCGGCGGCGGCGGTGGCAGCAGCTTCACCAACGGATGAAATTGTCGCGCACGAGAACCCTGCACGATACGTTCAACCCGCGACTTGGCTAAACATGGACGAGGAAGGCCCCACCGCAGACGTCGGAGGAGAAGAAGAAGATGATGAGTTCGAGGAGGACGACGAACAGACCTTGTTGAACTTGGCTGCGCAAGGAGATGATGAGTTTGGTGCGATTTATGACGAAGCTTATGATGGCTCTGGCGACGAGTATGATTGAAAAGTTTCGCCTTTCTTTCTTGCCTGAATCCTTGAAGTCGAGTATTCAAAATAGGTAGGCTATGCAAAGTAGGGTAGACGGGGCAATTGTAAGGTATCTTACCTACCTACCTACCTACTAAGTCTCGTTCGTCGAAGGATTCAAAATCATGTGGACGGATAAGCACGCGTGTTCAAAATACATGTAGTAGGCGAGTAATTGAATGACGACCAGTTGCAGCATTTCAAACTTCTTTCCTTTTCTTTCTCTTTCGCTTCTTCAGTTCTGTTGAAAAGAGTATCTGAGTAGAGAGAGAGACTCGCATCTTCGTCACTTCATGTCCTGGATTTCATTCATTCATTCATTCATTCATAAGGTATCCATATCCATATCCATATCCATATCATAGGTAGCACATCATTACCTTATTTTGATTTTGAGGGGGGAGGAGCTTTTGTGTGTAAGGTACGTTATCATCATCATCATCATCAACATCAACATCAACATCAACTTTTCGCGCTGCAGCTTGCTACAAGCAACAACACTTCTTCTTCTTCTGCGTCTCATAAGCAAAGCAAAACTCGGGTATACCAAAACAAACACCACCACCGCTAGGTAATATAGGGGGGTATATTCTTCCGTCGGGGAAAAAAAACCAAAAACATTTCAGCGGCCATATCTGCGACACAAACCAGCCCATTCTTGCATGAATTTTCTGGCATCTGTCCAAAAAAAAGAACAAGTCAGCATGGAAACGAAGGAAGGAATGAATCCCTCTCTCTCTATCTCATCAGGGGAGAAGTAGATGAAACGCACCTCGATCCGAAGCAAAAGGTAAAATCGCATTCCCTCTCCTATCCACAGGGGGTTCATATCCATCAATAAAAATCGAAGTTTTCAGCTTCGCAAGCACCACGTTTCCATTTCCTTGATACTCGGGCCAATCCGGATCATAAGCATATCGGGTCACGAAAGCGGTCCAGATGGGGACAGTTTTCTTCTGGCCTCGGAGCGGAGAAGCTTCCAAGCGGACGACTTTGGAAGCACTGTCTCGGACCAGGCGAAGGAGGTGGCGCATGTCGTGGTGTCGGATTTCACCTGTAAAGATTAACGTTTCGCCATGGTCGCATTTTTCGAGCGCGTAGTTTTCGATTAAGATGCCATGTGCGATGCCGCCTCGGTCTTGGTGTTTCATGGCGATGAATGTGTTGTAGAATAGCACCATTCTTTCGTGGAGGATGAAGTTGAGACGTGCCCAGACGATGTGTCTTTCGGTGCCATAGAGGACGCGGCAGAGGATTAGTACGGAGCCTTCTCGGAGGATCTTGAGCTTGGCTAAACATTCGGAGTGGTAAAGTGGCTGGCCATACGCATCGTGGGCGATGATTAGTATGATGGCTCGGTAATCTTCGGGACGGTAGTACAGTTGCACACATAGACGGTTCTCGTCAAAGGGCATCTGCACGGCACGTTGAAAGCCGGTAGTGGCTATAGCCTCTAGCGCATCTAAGGCCAGCTCGCCAGAACATGTGGAGTCTTCGATTGATTGACATTCAAGTCTGTATCGCGTAGTGGAATAGCTACCATCGAATACATCCTCAGCCCAATGGAGTGGCAGACCTGGTTGGGTCGAGAAATATGGATCGCTCGAGTAAGACGTGTGGCTTGACATTGTCTGTGAGGAGTCCGAGGTGAAGGTGCTATAGAGTGGTGACACAAAAGGCGATTGTGGCCGAGCTGCAAATGGAGGATCCGGTGCATAAGTATTGGGTGGTCGTTCCCAACGGAGATCTTCTGACGGTATAGTCGAATTGCTTGGTGGTTTCGGACGAGGACCCCGGCTCGATCGTCTTCTGGGTCTGGGAGTACTCGATCCTGTACACATGTCAGCTCAATACTGACGTTACAGCGCAGATCGTACCTGATAATCCCGCCAGCCTGGAATCGATGGTCTGATTTCTGGATCTTTGCTGTGCCGCAAGCACACGATTGACATCCCTGCGAATTCTGCCAAGGTCTGAAACTTCATGTCCCCCCAGGATATCGTTCTGCGCGTCAAGAAAGTCTCGATAGTATTCCAGACGCTCATGTAGTCCTGATCCCTCTTGATGTACGAAATAATTTTCCAGATCTTTCCACGCAGTTTCCTCTAACCCTTGCCGGGATCTCGAGAACATGTCGAACATGTCTTGAGTAGTAAAACTGAGGCTTCTGCGTACAATAGCCAAGTCGTCGTGGATTTGATAAAAAAAAGGTCCGTAGGTCCAACTATGTTCGGCATTATGGATTTCTCGCAATGCTGCGCTGACGGCGAACAACTCCGAGAGGATAGCGGTGATCTTGGTGGCGTGTCGAGGCAAGGCATCGCGTAAACATCGTAATTTTTCAAGAGCATCATCACAGTCGAGCGCAGACTCGAGCAGCGTCCGTTCAGCCATGTCATTCGCTGGTCCTGGTCGGTGCCTTGGATGGATGCCTCCACCTCGGTGGTGACTAAGGTAGACTCAATTGGCCACAGGTTGTCCCTCAGCGATCCCCACTCGTTATGCCTGAGGCACTGGAATATAATTTGCCCAAACAGTTGCCAGTGTATGTGGACAAAGTGCGGGAGGATGATGCGAAGGGGCACTCAGAGCGGCGAAAAATGGATATCTCGATCTTGGCTACTGAATGTGAGCCGCGCCCGTGCCGCATGTGCGAGCTGGCTGGTGAGAGGATGACGAGTGGGGCTGCATTCTTCACCGGTCAACGCTGCCATCTTTTCTAGTTCCTGGTGGTGAATGAGCAATCTTTCCATGCATGTAAATGACAAAAACGACGTCAATGATAGATAGACCTGTTGTGAAAGAGACTTTCTAACACCAAGGGCGCAGGAGAACAATGAGAACCCATGGTTTAGAACTACCGTGACAAACCTGGAGTGTTCCAACCGCATGGCAAACCGGCAGCTGGCATGGCGGCAAACACCCGCTCCCAGAGAACTGGATGGCAGGTTGACCTTGACAGAGTCCAGGCTATAGTAGAGGACACCGCACCGTCTCGATGGCCGGGCAGAGCGAAAATAATGGAAGAAGCCATTATTAGATTATGACGCTCTGACAAGCATATGGAGATGCCAATGATTCGACATGGTCCATGTATAGCAGCAAGAACAACAAATCAAGAATAAGATAGTGTAGAATGACAGAGCGAATACATATAGTTGGAAGAAAACATGAAGTGATGGCAAGAAAAAGAAGAAACGAGGGAAGGGACGAAGTTGATAAACTAGACTCCAGATAGACTCAAGACCAATATATCCATGGATACGAGGAGCCTGTACTCCGCCACCCCCAGTTCGACCACACGCGTAAGGGGCAGGCATCAAGTCTCATGGGCGCTTGCGCCCGCCATAGCGGATCCAACAATATGTGCAAAGTAAATCAGTGACAAGCAGACGAATTCCGACTAATGCAGGTCAGTCTGGAAATGGATAGCAACATGCCTAGGTACAACCTAGCTCAGGTTGGACATAAGCCGGACATAGGCGAGGGGGAATGTGATATGTGATTACGCTGCTGGTCCACTGACCAAGAGCGCGTACGTTCGTGCATTCATCGCTAAAGCTAAGCAGCTTCACGCCGCACTAATAGGGTATCTTCGCAGTTCATGTCCTCGAAGAACGCCATGGCCAGAGGGTAGGCTCTGGCTGTCCTTCTCATGACCATGCCGATAAGTATGATGATAAAACAAGTAAGCTCCGCTCCTAATGCTATTGACGGGTTCGCGCCGTCAAGGATGTTTGAGGAAAGTGTCGATCCTGAGAGAGAGAGGGTGTGTGTGCCTAATGGTCGTTGCCATGAACTCCCGTATACAGTCCCCATGCCGTTCATCGTACATGCAAATGCGTCCGTCTATCCGGAGTTGCGGACCTTAAACGAATTCATACTCCTCCTCATCGGCGTTGCGAAGGATGACAAGACCACCGAGGTCGGACTTCTTGCCCTTCTTGCGCTTGTCTGGGCTCATGACCATGGCTTCACCCTCTGCATCCAGCATCTCATACTCGCTCTTGACCAACTTGACAGTCTCACGCTCCTCAAACTTCTCGACTGCCTTGGCGAGCGCCACGTTGAGGATCTGGCTACCCTTGCTAGGCGAGCGGGCAGCATCGAACGAGTAGGTGACACCGGCATCGACAGGTGGGGAAGGCGTCTCGTCGTATTCGTCGGAGTTGCTGGCAGATGAGTCGTCCGTAATGGCTGCACCCTCGAGCATGTCATGCTTGCGAGCCACCTTGGCGCCGTGAGCAAGTGAGGCCACCGCGCCCTTGTTCTCACGTCGCTTGAAGCTGAACTCGCTATCTGCTCATTAGCCGAGGTTGGTCATGCCGGCAGAGATAGAGGACTCACGTCTCAGAAGGACGATAAGGTCTTGGCTTCTCAACAGCACGACCCGGGCCTCCAGTGGAGCCTAGAGCCCACTTATGCTTGTGAGATGCATCGCGCTTGTAGTCTTGAGCAGTAGCGCGGAGGTCAGCGTTGGAGAGGGTCTGCTCAGAGGACATGATGGCGAGTCTCTGCGTTTTGCAGATGCAATAAGGCTGTGACGATTCGAGTGTGCGTGGTAAGCCTTGATATCGCTGGGGCTTCTGGGGGAAACTGAATGGACACCGTGGTGATATCGCTGATGGGGAGGCTAGAATTGAGAGGGGGTTGTAGGTGATTGTTGGTACGGAGAAAGAAGAGCAGCAGCTGGTGACAGGCCTCTCGTCAATAGAGACAAACAAAGAAGTGACAGCTTGGTCAAAGACAGCAGGAGCGCTGATTGCGAACGTGCAGGTGACTCGTGGAGCTGAGCTGAGTCACGAGGCGCGATGAGTCGAGGCGACGGGAAGCTCGAATCTGTCTTGTTTGTGGTTGCCGGTGTCAGTTCTTGGAGGAGTTGACGGTTGTTTCGTTTGGGAAGCGGTCGTGAAGGTGCACTTTCAATACGTGAATAGAGCAGTGTTGTACAGTCAGAGTAAGCAGGCCTATAACAACAACAAAGCAGGACAGGTGCCTTTATCCAGGTCAGTCATAGGAGGTATGGCTATTCCGGATGTGGGGAAAGCAGCGATAAGCAGCAAGCCGCGACGCGCGGGCAATCTACGACCACGCTGTCCGTTTCGTCATGACCGTGGAGGTTCAGGAACGTGGCTTGCTCACTGGCATACGGAGACTGCCTCGGGGCAAATTCAGCCAGCCAGCCAGCAAGCATGCCAGGCCTGTGTCCCGTGAGAATGATGAAGTTGCCGCCGACGCGCAGAACCAGCTGTAGGCTGTGTGGGTGTGGCGATGACGTCCGTGCCTCGTACCAAATCGGGACGAGAGCGGAAGGGACCGCCATGATGTTCCACATGACAGTATCGTGAACACGTGAAGGCTTGATTCGACGGAGCGCCGCGTCTGCTGACCTCCGATACAAGCGCCCTCGCTCCCCTCGTAGAGATCAGACAGCCAGGACCAGCGCATTCGAGGGCGTTCAAGAACGATGATCGCGGTTCATGCGTTCATGCTCTCTTGTTGTTGTTGTTGCTCGTCATCGGCGTCGCTGGGTAGGATTTCTGGGAACCAGCCATAGCTAGAAAAGTCGACAGTTCGTTCGCCTAGAGATCCACGGCCGACTTCCACACCTTCTGCCAGTAAGGCGGTTTCCTGATCAGCCGCCCCATTTGTCCCTCTTGATGAGCTCTGTCAGCTGCACACTTCTGTAGAGGGAACCCGCCATGACGAGCAAGACTTGCCGTTGGCTGATGCTTCCTTTTGAATTGATCACCCTCTGCCAAGGGACCGTATCGCAGTTGTAGCGAGCGTCCGGCTGGTCTGTAGCGGAGGGCAGGTATTTCAGGCACATGCCGACCTGGCTGGAACAGAGTCAGGAAGCCAGTCCGGCATCGAGGGCGCGTACCTCATACCGTGGTCGTTCGCTGTTCGTGTCGATTGAGCTCCTGTCGCATAGATCGTGTGCTGTCCTACGAGAACTCACGGGTACCCCAATAATGTCGCAATATGGCCATAAGAGGTCACAGACCCAGGCGGAATCTGCTGCACGGCTCTGTAGACCATGGTATACCACGAGGCAGCCTCTTCGGATCGAGGCATTGCGAGAATGAGATGGTTTACATGATTCCAATGTGTTACAGAGAGCAAAAGAACCTTTTTGAATAGAAAATCGACATTGTGCGCTCGCTTATATAGTATTAAGTTTGGGGCTAGCGTGGTACCTCCTGCGTCACTCGTCACTTTCCGACGAACGTACATACGAGTTACCTACACGTTCTCGGCGTGCGGCGCTGACTCGCACTCGTTCTGAGGTTCTACGCACTCCTGACTAAGCATTCAAAACGCATCCCAAGACGGAACGAGTGCATAGTTTAAATTACGAGTGCAGGTTATGTTTTTTCTTCTTCCTTTGTATCTACTTCTATCGAGCTATCTAAAAACTATTATTTACTCTATACTTACCGACTCTGTATTATAGTTCTCTACTATTTACTATCTCGACAATAGTAAATACTAGATACTATTACTATACCGTTACAATACCGTTATAATACCGGATCGTTACTATACTGTTACTATACTGTTACTATACTGTTACTATACTATTACTATACTATTATAGACTTTTTGTACCCTAGTACTAGTTCTAGTATATATATTTATATATTTGTTTACTTATATTCTAGGAGTTTGTACTAGACGATCTAAATATATATCTCTATATACTCTTTATATTAACTAGAAAGTACTCTTATATACTACTACTATCTTAGACTTATATATATATTATTACTAAGATCTAGTAATTAAT